CAACCCCCTCCCACACCCCCTCCACTCCCTCCCTCCCTCCTCCCCCATCCCCCACCTGCAGCACGTGGTCCAGGAACACCACATGCGAGATCGGATCTCGCTTCTTCGCCATCACTCGCTGCAGGTGCCACGTCAGCACCATCACGCGCGCCAGCTCATCAAGGCATCCAGTCAGCCGCTGCCACAGCGCCTCCCGGGCTCTGGGGGCGCCTCCCATTGGGGGGGTGCCACTGCGCATGGCTCCTCCTGAGACGGGGGGAGGAAGGGGAGAGGGCAAGGAGGAAGGAGAAGGGGAAGAAGATTCTTGAGTTGAGTCAACTCAGCCGCTGCCACAGCGCCTCCCGGGCTCTGGAATTGCCGGCCATTGGGGGCGTGCCATTACGCATGGCTCCTCCTGGTGGGGAAGGGGGGACCGGGGGGAACCAGGGAGGAAGGAGGAGCAAGCAGGTAAGAAGGTGACCCTTGAGTCACCTCAGCCGCTGCCCTGCCACAGCGCCTCCCGGGCTCTGGAATTGCCGGCCATTGGGGGCGTGCCATTACGCATGGCTCCTCCTGGTGGGGAAGGGGGGACCGGGGGGAACCAGGGAGGAAGGAGGAGCAAGCAGGTAAGAAGGTGACCCTTGAGTCACCTCAGCCGCTGCCCTGCCACAGCGCCTCCCGGGCTCTGGAATTGCCGGCCATTGGGGGCGTGCCATTACGCATGGCTCCTCCTGGTGGGGAAGGGGGGACCGGGGGGAACCAGGGAGGAAGGAGGAGCAAGCAGGTAAGAAGGTGACCCTTGAGTCACCTCAGCCGCTGCCCTGCCACAGCGCCTCCCGGGCTCTGGAATTGCCGGCCATTGGGGGCGTGCCATTACGCATGGCTCCTCCTGGTGGGGAAGGGGGGACCGGGGGGAACCAGGGAGGAAGGAGGAGCAAGCAGGTAAGAAGGTGACCCTTGAGTCACCTCAGCCGCTGCCCTGCCACAGCGCCTCCCGGGCTCTGGAATTGCCGGCCATTGGGGGCGTGCCATTACGCATGGCTCCTCCTGGTGGGGAAGGGGGGACCGGGGGGAACCAGGGAGGAAGGAGGAGCAAGCAGGTAAGAAGGTGACCCTTGAGTCACCTCAGCCGCTGCCCTGCCACAGCGCCTCCCGGGCTCTGGAATTGCCGGCCATTGGGGGCGTGCCATTACGCATGGCTCCTCCTGGTGGGGAAGGGGGGACCGGGGGGAACCAGGGAGGAAGGAGGAGCAAGCAGGTAAGAAGGTGACCCTTGAGTCACCTCAGCCGCTGCCCTGCCACAGCGCCTCCCGGGCTCTGGAATTGCCGGCCATTGGGGGCGTGCCATTACGCATGGCTCCTCCTGGTGGGGAAGGGGGGACCGGGGGGAACCAGGGAGGAAGGAGGAGCAAGCAGGTAAGAAGGTGACCCTTGAGTCACCTCAGCCGCTGCCCTGCCACAGCGCCTCCCGGGCTCTGGAATTGCCGGCCATTGGGGGCGTGCCATTACGCATGGCTCCTCCTGGTGGGGAAGGGGGGACCGGGGGGAACCAGGGAGGAAGGAGGAGCAAGCAGGTAAGAAGGTGACCCTTGAGTCACCTCAGCCGCTGCCCTGCCACAGCGCCTCCCGGGCTCTGGAATTGCCGGCCATTGGGGGCGTGCCATTACGCATGGCTCCTCCTGGTGGGGAAGGGGGGACCGGGGGGAACCAGGGAGGAAGGAGGAGCAAGCAGGTAAGAAGGTGACCCTTGAGTCACCTCAGCCGCTGCCCTGCCACAGCGCCTCCCGGGCTCTGGAATTGCCGGCCATTGGGGGCGTGCCATTACGCATGGCTCCTCCTGGTGGGGAAGGGGGGACCGGGGGGAACCAGGGAGGAAGGAGGAGCAAGCAGGTAAGAAGGTAACCCTTGAGTCACCTCAGCCGCTGCCCTGCCACAGCGCCTCCCGGGCTCTGGAATTGTTGGCCATTGGGGGCGTGCCATTACGCATGGCTCCTCCTGGTGGGGAAGGGGGGACCGGGGGGAACCAGGGAGGAAGGAGGAGCAAGCAGGTAAGAAGGTGACCCTTGAGTCACCTCAGCCGCTGCCCTGCCACAGCGCCTCCCGGGCTCTGGAATTGCCGGCCATTGGGGGCGTGCCATTACGCATGGCTCCTCCTGGTGGGGAAGGGGGGACCGGGGGGAACCAGGGAGGAAGGAGGAGCAAGCAGGTAAGAAGGTGACCCTTGAGTCACCTCAGCCGCTGCCCTGCCACAGCGCCTCCCGGGCTCTGGAATTGCCGGCCATTGGGGGCGTGCCATTACGCATGGCTCCTCCTGGTGGGGAAGGGGGGACCGGGGGGAACCAGGGAGGAAGGAGGAGCAAGCAGGTAAGAAGGTGACCCTTGAGTCACCTCAGCCGCTGCCCTGCCACAGCGCCTCCCGGGCTCTGGAATTGCCGGCCATTGGGGGCGTGCCATTACGCATGGCTCCTCCTGGTGGGGAAGGGGGGACCGGGGGGAACCAGGGAGGAAGGAGGAGCAAGCAGGTAAGAAGGTGACCCTTGAGTCACCTCAGCCGCTGCCCTGCCACAGCGCCTCCCGGGCTCTGGAATTGCCGGCCATTGGGGGCGTGCCATTACGCATGGCTCCTCCTGGTGGGGAAGGGGGGACCGGGGGGAACCAGGGAGGAAGGAGGAGCAAGCAGGTAAGAAGGTGACCCTTGAGTCACCTCAGCCGCTGCCCTGCCACAGCGCCTCCCGGGCTCTGGAATTGCCGGCCATTGGGGGCGTGCCATTACGCATGGCTCCTCCTGGTGGGGAAGGGGGGACCGGGGGGAACCAGGGAGGAAGGAGGAGCAAGCAGGTAAGAAGGTGACCCTTGAGTCACCTCAGCCGCTGCCCTGCCACAGCGCCTCCCGGGCTCTGGAATTGCCGGCCATTGGGGGCGTGCCATTACGCATGGCTCCTCCTGGTGGGGAAGGGGGGACCGGGGGGAACCAGGGAGGAAGGAGGAGCAAGCAGGTAAGAAGGTGACCCTTGAGTCACCTCAGCCGCTGCCCTGCCACAGCGCCTCCCGGGCTCTGGAATTGCCGGCCATTGGGGGCGTGCCATTACGCATGGCTCCTCCTGGTGGGGAAGGGGGGACCGGGGGGAACCAGGGAGGAAGGAGGAGCAAGCAGGTAAGAAGGTGACCCTTGAGTCACCTCAGCCGCTGCCCTGCCACAGCGCCTCCCGGGCTCTGGAATTGCCGGCCATTGGGGGCGTGCCATTACGCATGGCTCCTCCTGGTGGGGAAGGGGGGACCGGGGGGAACCAGGGAGGAAGGAGGAGCAAGCAGGTAAGAAGGTGACCCTTGAGCGTTATTTGAGTCACAGGGCCTCCCTTGCTCTGGGGGCTCCTCCCATTAAGGGGGTGCCACTACGCATGGCCCCACCTGGGGAGGATGGGGAGGATAAGAGGGACTTAGGGGGAAACTGTAAGGGGAAGTTGACTCTCCGCCTGCCTGCAGCGCCTCCCAGGCTCTGGTCTGGGTGCGCCTCCCATTGGGGGCATCCCGCTGTGCATAGCTCCTCCTGTGAGGAAAAGGAAGGCGAAGAGGGGGTCGCAGGGGGGTACGAGGGAGGTGGGTGGTGATGGAGGAGGGGTGGGGGGTAAGGGGGGGGTAAGGGGGTGGGGGGTAAGGGGGTGGGGGGTAAGGGGGTGGGGGGTAAGGGGGGGTGGGGGGGGTAAGGGGGTGGGGGGGGGGTAAGGGGGTGGGGGGTAAGGGGGTGGGGGGTAAGGGGGTGGGGGGTAAGGGGGTGGGGGGGGTGGGGGGTAAGGGGGTGGGGGGTAAGGGGGTGGGGGGTAAGGGGGTGGGGGGTAAGGGGGTGGGGGGTAAGGGGGGGGGGGTAAGGGGGGGGGGGTGGGGGGTAAGGGGGTGGGGGGTAAGGGGGTGGGGGGTAAGGGGGTGGGGGGTAAGGGGGTGGGGGGTAAGGGGGTGGGGGGTAAGGGGGTGGGGGTAAGGGGGTGGGGGGGGTAAGGGGGTGGGGGGTAAGGGGGTGGGGGGTAAGGGGGTGGGGGGTAAGGGGGTGGGGGGTAAGGGGGTGGGGGGTAAGGGGGTGGGGGGTAAGGGGGTGGGGGGTAAGGGGGGGGTGGGGGGGTAAGGGGGTGGGGGGTAAGGGGGTGGGGGGTAAGGGGGTGGGGGGTAAGGGGGTGGGGGGTAAGGGGGTGGGGGGGCGGGAAGTAGGGAGAGCGGGGGGATGTGGGGGTTCACTTGTTATACAGGCCACCTGTTGCAACTTGCACATGGCAGGGAACATTCCTCTTTTCTTTTTTTTGGGATTCATTGTGGGTTGTCTCAAATGAAGCAAGCCAGGCGCACTGCTGTGGCTGCGTACAGGCACACCTGGTCTATCTCTTAAGCGCATCACAAATGAGGCAATCAGGCTTACCTGGTCCGCCCACTGACCCGCCCAACCCTCCACCGCCCCCTGACGCTCCCATGCTGGCGCTGATAGCCTGATAACAGGGAGAACCGGGTGGGGGGAACCAGGTGGGGAAATGCATAGTCAATTTTTTAGTCGACTCAATACTCGAATATCACACCAGCCCTCCACCGCCCCCTGAAGCTCCCATGCTGGCGCTGATAGCCTGATTACAGGGAGAACGGGGTGAGGAGAACAGGGTGGGGAGAGCAGGGTGGGGAGAACGGGGTGGGGAGAACGGGGTGGGGAGAACGGGGTGGGGAGAACGGGGTGGGGAGAACGGGGTGGGGAGAACGGGGTGGGGAGAACCGGGTGGGGAGATGCATAGCGTCGTACGTGCAATGAGGGGCGAGCAGAAAGTGGGTCAACATTGAGTGAGGCTGTGGGAGGGAGGGACAAGGTATGTGCGAGGGAATAGACGCGCAAACGATACAATGGGGAGCATATGGGCGGGGAAGCTTCATGTGCCCTCGGAAGGGGAAGGGGAAAGCCCATACCTTCATGTCTAGCCCTGTCGTGTCGCCACGGCTCGCATCGCCTGTCCCTTGTGCTTCAAGAAAGAATGAAGCGGGCTCTAGTACCTTCACGTAAGCTTCATGCGCACTCGGAAGGGGAAGGGGGGAGGCCATACCTTCATGTCTAGTCCTGTCGCCACGGCTCGCATCGCCTGCCCCTTGTGCTTCGCTACTAGCTGATCCACTGTCTGCCGCAGCTCACCCATGTTGAAAAACACCTGAAAAGGATACGACAATAAACAACAGACAAAGGTGGGGAGGAGGGGATGGATGGAAAAAAGAGGCGACTGTTGCTCCCCCTCCGCCACCCACTCGTGCTGTGCCTCCACCACATGCACCCCCCCAGCTGCGCCTCCCCCACCCACTCACATGTAAGACCTCTCACTTGCAAAGCCCCCGCATATGCAACAACCCTCACCTGCTTCACACCCATCACCTTCACCCCCTCTCACCTGCAGCACGCTGCCCACTTCAGCCTGGTTCATCGCTTCCATACCCCCTTTCATCGCCTCCTTCCTATTAGCTTGCCCCTTAGTGCCCACTATTGGACCTCACTGCCCCTCACTGCCCCACCGTTCCCCACCCATCCCAACCAATTCTCTCACCTGCAACACACTCCCCACTTCAGCCTGGTTCATCGCCTCCATGCCCCCCTCCAGTGCCTTCATCGCCTCTCTCCTAATCGCCTGCCCTGCCTCCGCCACCCACTCGTGCTGAGCCTCCACCACATGCACCCCCCCCAGCTGCGCCTCCCTGTGCACCGCCCCCACCTCCTGCCACACCTGCCCCGCCTTCCCCAGCTCCGCCTTTTCCACCCCCCCACTCAGGTGCTCCCTCAGCTTGCGCACCTGCGAGGAGGGAAGAACCAAGGGGAGGGAGGGGCGGGAGAGGATGGGGGGATAAGGATGAGGAAGTTTTGAGACATCTCAGTCCCCACCACCTGCCACACCTGCCCCACCTTCCCCAACTCCGCCTTTTCCACGCCTGAAGCTCTAGTAGCTTGCGCACCTGGGGAGTAGAGAAACAGGGGTGTGGTCGGGGTGATGGTAGGGAGAGGGGAGCGTGAAGGGAGGGGGAGGGAAGGGTCAGGTGTGAGTATTGCGGGGGGAGGGGAGAGGGAGGAGGTTTGAAACGCCTCAGAACACACCTGTTCTTCTGTCCGCCACCCTCTCCTGCTGAGCCTCCGCCACATGATTCCCATTGACTCCTGTTGACTACCCTTGACTCCCATCATGACTCCGCGAGTTTTGTAATTTGTTTTTGACTTAGGACTCGTCAAGAGCAGGCTGATCTATACTCGCCACCAGGTGGTTAATTTCTCCACTCACCATCACCAGGAGGTAGTTAATCTCCGCTCACCAGTTTGAGGTATTTGATGACGGCTCTCAGCAGCTCCATGGTGTCGTAAAGGGCGGCCAGCTGACGTGTCTTCACCTGAATGGCCCGATACGGGTCCGCTATCTCTGCCCGCACACGCTGTGGGTGGGAGACACGGTTCACACACACTCACACGTGTGGAGTTTTGGAAATTGGTAATGATATATTGCATTTAATGCATTTCTAAGGCGCAAGAATGAAAAATTGACAGTATTTCCAGCACACATCCCACTCCTCACTATTGCATTCCCGCGCTCATCGTCCTCTTCTTTCCCACTTCACAACTGCACAGAAACACACCTGGACCGAGGCTAGTAACGAGTCGACTCCAGCGCGCACCACAGACAGCACGCCCTCCGTGTCTTTTAACGAGGATAGCTGCTGCAGCAGCTCGTCATGATGCGTTGCCACCTCAGCCTGCACCTGCGCCTGCAGCGCAGATATCACCTCCCCCAGCTGAGCCGCGGTGAGCACAGATGAACCCTCCTTCCCCCCTGCTGCCATGCTGTGTGCTAGGGCCTACAGAAGGGCAAAGGGAAGAAAATGGGAGGAACAGCGGGTAGATGAGCCTGTGAAACACATATCCCTCTCTGTCTTTTAACAAGGACAGCTGCTGCAGCAGCTCGTCATGATGCGTTGCCACCTCAGCCTGCACCTGCGCCTGCAGCGCAGATATCACCTCCCCCAGTTGAGCCGCAGTAAGCACAGATGAGCCCTCCTTTCCCCCGGCTGCCATGCTGTGTGCCAGGGCCTATAAGGGGGGAAGGAACGGTGGGGAAAGGGAAAAGGTCGGAGGGTAAGTTGGTTCAATGCAACGCAGGTAACACCATTGCAAGGCAGATAACACCTCCCTCAGTTGAGCCAGAGTGCAACGATGAGCCTTCCTTTCCCCCCTGACATGCAGTGTGCTGAGGCCTAAAACTAGGGAGAAGACGGGTAAAGGATTCCTTATAAAACAGCCATCTTGAGTGAGATAAGCATAAACCTTCAATTACCGCTGCCGAAATGCTGTACACGGTAAATGAGACGTCTTGAACTAGGTCCTTCAGGCGTCTACATACCGTATGTGAAAATCTCTTTTGAGAATACTCAAAAGTGAATTTAACGCTGCTGACATGCCGTACACGGTAAATGAGACGCCTTGGACCGGTCCTTCAAACGTATACAAACCGCAGATGACAAACATCTGCCTTTTACTTGATTCTTCAAACGTCGCCAAGCCGTAACAGCTCATCGGCCCTGAATTCGGATCTACAAAAGTCTGCAAACGAAACGTAACAATCATTTGTCCTGCTATAAGGCCAACCTGCGTCGATGACTTTAAGTTGTCCCAGAAGCTTCGACTCCAAAACCATATCAACTCCGGCTGATGTCACACGAACCTGCAATGCGTCGATGTCTTTAAGTTGCTCCAGCTGACGCGCCAGCTCATCGTTGCGCAAGACTCCCCCTTCCCGCGGGGAATGCGGAGACGCCTCCTCCTGCGCCTGCACGTTCCGCAATGCCCCCTTTGCGGATGCCATTGCCGCCGAACTCGCCGCGGAATGCGCACTTAATCCGACGGTTGGCGCGAGTCGACTGTCTACAACACCAAGGTATACCCGCTGTTCCTACTCTTTGGAAAAGACGACGTTCTCCTAAGCACGGAATCTTCCAGTAGCCTGCTCGGGAGAAGCGTAGAAATGCGTGATGTGATTCTGAGGCAGACCAACTGCAAGAATCCCAACAATAAAAACGCACCCGTAGTTCTTTCTATAACAGCACCATACAATCAGAACCGCCACAACTTTATCTACAAATTTAGTTTCTACCATTCTTGATTGTTTATAGCTAAACGAATTCACGAAGATCCTACGGTTGTTTCCTGGCCGAAAGAATATGTCACGGCTTATAAATTCAATGTACATAATTTCACTTCCCTATGTAGCTGTCGGATACTCAGTGGCTTTAGATCAAAACACAATAAGACATTGTCACGCTCATTTCATTGACCATCATGCAAATATTATGCTCTATATACAGAATAAACTAGGCCAGCCTGATTTTCTGTGCATGTTCCTACTAACGCATTGTGTGAAAGACATAGTTTGGTTTCAGGCTTCATTCAATTGTATTGCCATTTATCAACACGTACCTTGGTTCTGACCTAGACGTGCCTAGGTCTTTAGCGGGTTGGCTCTACTGTACTGATCGCGCAAGACTCAACTTGCACAGTGATCCCTGCTACTGGCTTGCCCAGCCCGAACCAACCTCTCCTGCATCGAAGAGGATTACTGTACGCGTCTGGCGCAATTGCAACTCCAAATCCTCTTCGTTGATAGGCAGAGCAGCATCCGAAGTGTACACAACCATGAAAGGCGGGAAACTGGAACAAGGGAATTGTCCAAATATGCGGCTTGGGTGGGAGATTGGAGCCACGAACTGATCAAACGTGGCAGACAGTCCGACCTGGAGGACCGCTATGTGGATCATCCACATCATCACCGTATCACCACACATCGGCAAGATCGACGCAAGTGCGAGCCGCACCGAACCCAAAATAGCTTCAGATACCCCTCCCAGAAAGGCGCAGCCCAACAAGGCCAGAATTTCAAGCGAGATTCTGAATTTCGCGACTTCCATTCCAATCCCCCTCCTACCAGAACAGCGGACACGACCGAAGAACTAATTCCATTGCAATGCACTAGAAAGCATTTATAAACACCAAAACAACATTACAGACCTAACATTGACATTTCTAACACGTCGCAGCTTCAGACGACCTCATTAATCGTCTTCATAAACACTCTTGTGCTCTCAGAGCGTTTACACGACTCTCCGACACAATGGCTGCGACTCTCTCCTCCTCGGCGACCGCCACCCTTCGCTCCCTCTCTATCTCGGAGGGAAGCAGCCTCTCCACCTCCTCCCGCGCGGCAATCCCTGGGTTCTCCGGCCTCAAGGCACAGAAGGCGCTTTCTGCCTCTGCTCAAACGTGCACCTGCATGACGTGCGCAAAATGCGGTAACCGTCGCACAGGCGTCGTCGCCTTGGCCAGCACCGACAACCAGTTCGCGAGCGTCTCCCAGTCCACCGCCGCTCCCGCCACCTCCGCCCTCATCCCCGCCGTCGTCGGAGCCGGCGCTCTCGGCGCCGCGACCTACGTCGCCGTGAAGAAGCTCACCGGGTCTCCCGCAGCAGCTCCTGCCGCTCCCGCCGCCTCCGCTCCCGCCGCCGCACCCGCCCCGCCCAGCGGCATCGTCCCGCGCGCGAAGCACGCGGCGGCGTCCGCTCTCGCGACAATGGCGACGACTTTCCCGTCGGCGATGCAGGAGGAGGCGTTCCTGAAGGCCGTGGCGGTGGAGCTGGCGAAGCTGGGGTTCCGCAAGGACAACGGCATCGCGCTCGTCAACACGTGCCGCGACGAGGTGTGCCGGCCCGTGGTGAGCATCATCGACCGCGAGTTCGGGCTGAGCTTCAACATCTCGGGGCTGGGCGGGCTCGTCAACTGCGGCAAGGTCGGCTTCAAAGCCGCCATGAGCCACTCGCCCGAGTTCCCCTGCGACGTCGACGGCAACCTCAAGGAGCGATGTAAGTTGGGTTTCTAATCTAGGTTACCCTGATCCCAAAAAAAGTTAACATTCTAAACCCCCTTGGTTTTCACTCCGTTATGCCTCATCCCGAGTCTTCCTTTCCCCTCTGGTGCCTTTTCACTTGCACCTGCTAAGAAATTGTAGCCGTGTTCTTTCACTAAGTAATCTGCCTTTATTGTTCCTGTCCTTACTTGCAGACATCTTCTTCGCGTTCCCGCACGTGTCCATCGGCGAGTCGGGCGAGGTGGGGTCGCTGCTGCGTCGTGGTCGCGGCAAGCCGTCGAGCGCGTGCGGAGCGTTGATCGCGATCAACAACGACATCAACAACGGCGCGGCGCCCAGCATGGACAGCGACGACCCCGAGTACACGCTGCTGCGCAAGAAGATCATGACCAAGGTACGGGGATGGTCAATTTACAGGGGGGACAAAACACGTTAATATATAAAAGCATCGATTTCCCATTTCAAGGTTCACCCAATACTTGCTATCGCTTACCAATGAATCAATGGTCAAGGGTATCTTCATTCTTACAATGTAGAAACTTATTATCTTCCGTTTCTGAAATTCCGCCTCCTATTCTCGCCTTACAGGTGTCGCCAGGCGGCAACCAGTCGCTGGTGGATGTGACGCGCGCGGCGTTGGCGGCGATCAACGAGGACCTGGAGAAGCTCATCGCGCTGACGGTGGATCCCGCCACGGCGGACTACGCCGTGATCACGGGCGTGCAGATCCACTCGGGCGACCAGATTCCCGGCCAGCCCTTCCGCATCGAGCGCACCTGCGACTACATCGCGCCCGACAAGATGTACGCCGTCGTTCGCGGCCAGAAGTACGCGCTCAAGGTGGAGACGCCCAAGTCGCAAGGTGTCGCTGCCATGGTCTAATGCTTCAGCGTAAAGCTGTTGGAGAAAAAAGGCGTTGATATGCAGAAACGGCATATCAAATAGGGTGTTTTCGCTTCTGGGAAGCGTTTTTCCAAATAAATTGTACATTATGCCTGAAAGCTTATAACCTTTGTCCAATATGGCATCAGTAGGAACACATTCTGATAAAACAATGAGTGGGGCACAACATGTAATCACGATTAGCTCTGCTAGTGAGTATATTTTGCAAACAATCTGTGCATGATAGTGGTTAAATGTAACTAGCAAACTGTTTGTTACCTATGAACAACTCAACAATGCAAGGATAAAGCGCTTACTATACAATAACAATCTGGAGCACAAATCCATGAACAACAATGCGTGCTTTTCGAAAGCACATTCCTTATTTTGAGTAGGTCACGAGACAATGCTGATAAATATTAATCACCACGGATTTCCACTACGACAAATAAGGGTGAATTTCTAATTACTAAGCTTTACTTCACAAATAGTGTCATGTCAAATCTTTTTAATACTCAGAACTTTCCCCACGCATAATCCTACTGCCTAATCTTTTTATTGCTGCAATTTCATTTCTCTTTCTCTCACTTCCCAACCTGCTGCTTCACGCCTTCGCTATTGCACTCAACAATAAGCGGTTTCCTCCCTGCACTGCGCCGTGGCAAGAATGGCACTGAATTGCAGCCACGTTTTCTCGCTCCTGCTATTGGTTCGACCATTGCTGTGCTGCTGGGGAAAGTATGTGCTGGCTACTATGGTTTTAGGATTCTCTCAAATTTAGTCGGGAAAGTCTATCCCAGCTCCTGACTTTCAGTTTTTTCTCATATTTAGCCCTATGTTTACTCAAAAAGCACCACTTTCCATTATTTCTCTCACGCGAGGCCCAAAGTATGTTCAAAACTGGTCCTGCGGGGCGAAGTTTTCGACACGTGTCGTTTTGTTACCAGCTGACGCACTTCCACTCTGAACTAACCGTTTGTCAGGGCAATTTTCGCGCCGGAAAAGTTTTTACGGGACAAAAAAACATAAAACCCCTAAAGGACCATTACACATTTTCGGGAGGGAGCAACCCTAAACACGGGACCTGCTAGGTGTTTAGGGTTGATCCCTCCCGCGAATGTGTCCTGGTTCTCTAGGGGTTTTATGTTTTTTGCCCCCGTCCAAATTTTCCATGCGTGGAAGTTCGTCAGATGGTGTAACAAGAGGACACGTGTCGAAAAAATCGCCCCGCAGGACCACTTTTGAACATACTTTGGGCCTCGCGTGAGAGAAATTCTAGAAAGTGGTGCTTTTTGAGTAAACCTAGGGCTGAATATGAGAGAAATCTGAAAGTCAGGAGCGGGGATATACTTTCCCAATTTAGTCACAAGGTTTACTCGGTCAGTGCGGCTCATTGCGATTTCGTTCACGCGACCTCCCACATTATGTTCAAAGTTGGTACTGCAGGCAAAATATTTTGACACGTGTCACAAAAAAAAATAAAACCCCTAGGGAAGCTGGACGCATTTTCGGGAGGGATCAACCCTAAAAACGGGAACCCACCGTGTTTAGGGTTGATGCCTCCCCGAGTCGCATCCCTTTCCGATTGGGTTTTAGTTTTTGTCAGCTTAAAAAATTGACACGTGTCGAAACTTTTGAGTGGCAGTATGAGTCGTGAACATAATCTGGTATGTGTTTTGAACATTTTTTCGGAAAGCAGTAGTGTTCGAGTAAACCCAGTATGATTCGAACGGGTTTCAATAACCAGGTAGCCAGCACATACTTTCCCGTGCCGCTGCATAGCTTTTTGGATTGCAAGACACCACTCGCGACTGTTAACGGCCATGGCTTAGTGGGCCGGAATGCAAGCATAGCTTAGAACTTTGAGCCTGCATATTCAGGCTGCCTTAGGGCCTAACAGGACGAGAATAGACAGATAACAGAATAACAACGGATAATACAGGTTATAGGAAAATCATTTGAATTGATCAAACCTAACGCTTCATTGAAGCAAAAAGGATGAACATACTACATTCGGTATCGGTCTTAATACCGAACCACAGACGGATGGAGAGGAAAAAAAAAAACAGGCTAAGTTTTATTCATTAAGAATTTATACTTCTTCAAACCATGGCAGCGACGCCTTCCGACTTGGGTGTCTCGACCTTCAGTTGGTACTTCTGGCCGCGAACGACGGCGTACATCTTGTCGGGCGCGATGTAATCGCAGGTGCGCTCGATGCGGAAGGGCTGGCCGGGAATCTGGTCGCCCGAGTGGATCTGCACGCCCGTGATCACGGCGTAGTCCGCCGTGGCGGGGTCCACCGTCAGCGCGATGAGCTTCTCCAAGTCCTCGTTGATCGCCGCCAACGCCGCGCGCGTCACGTCCACCAGCGACAGATTGCTACCGGACACCTGCGAGGAGGCATTAAGACGTGGGAATAGAGACGTGGAAAATTAGTGGCTGATTCGAGGGTTAAGAATAATTTGGAAGTAGGGAAACTTATGGCCACTGATGCTACGTTGTTTGCACTTGATTTACAAAAGTTCTTTTCCCGAATAGATTTTTTTTTACGTTCTCGTACCTTGGTCATAATCTTCTTCCGCAGCAGCGTGTACTCGGGGTCGTCGCTGTCCATGCTGGGCGCCGCGCCGCTGTTGATGTCGTTGTTGATCGCGATCAACGCTCCGCACGCGCTCGACGGCTTTCCGCGACCGCGACGCAGCAGCGACCCCACCTCGCCCGACTCGCCGATGGACACGTGCGGGAACGCGAAGAAAATGTCTGCAGAGGGGAGAAAATGAAACCAAATAAAATGCTTAATGAGAATGGAAGCACGCCAGCCTTGCACGTAGCAAGAAACTGAGAAGGTTGCAACAAACTGGAAAAACCATATTATTCGATTCAGAGAAGCATAACACAGTGGCGAACCCCAAACTTACATCGCTCCTTGAGGTTGCCGTCGACGTCGCAGGGGAACTCGGGCGAGTGGCTCATGGCGGCTTTGAAGCCGACCTTGCCGCAGTTGACGAGCCCGCCCAGCCCCGAGATGTTGAAGCTCAGCCCGAACTCGCGGTCGATGATGCTCACCACGGGCCGGCACACCTCGTCGCGACACGTGTTGACGAGCGCGATGCCGTTGTCCTTGCGGAACCCCAGCTTCGCCAGCTCCACCGCCACGGCCTTCAGGAACGCCTCCTCCTGCATCGCAGACGGGAACGTCGTCGCCATTGTTGCCAGCGCCGACGCCGCCGCGTGCTTCGCGCGCGGGACAATGCCGCTGGGCGGCGCGGGGGTTGCGGCGGGAGCGGAGGCGGCAGCGGCGGGTGCGGCGGCGGGAGACGCGGTGAGCTTCTTCACGGCGACGTAGGTCGCGGCGCCCAGAGCGCCGGCGCCAACGACTGCGGGGAGGAGAGCGCTGGTGGCAGGAGCGGCGGGAGCTGCCGTGGTTTGGGAAACGCTGGCGAATTGGCTGTCGCCGCTGGCCATGGCGATGACGCTTGTGCGACGGTTACCGCATTTCGCGCACGTTATGCAGGTGCATGTTTGAGCGGCAGAGGCGGAAAGCGCCTTCTGGGCCTTGAGGCCGGAGAACCCAGGGATTGCCGCGCGGGAGAAGGTGGAGAGGCTACTTCCCTCCGGGATATAGAGGGAGCGGAGGGAGGCGGACGCCGAGGAGGAGAGAGTCGCAGCCATTGTGTGAGAGCGTCGTGACAAGATGGCGCCTGAAAAAATCGGGATTATGTACAGAGGCGCTCTGGTCAGCGACGTTTACAATAGATAGAAAAGGTGAACGAAAGAAATCGTCGTTGGATTGAGAGAAATGCCAGAGTATATACTGTCACACAGTCCCGACGTTGGAATTGGGGAGCGACTAACAAATTCCGAGATTTGTTCCGAATTTCGTCTAGAAATCTGGCATTGGCAGGGTCATCAATGTTTTCAAGAGAAGGGGGGTTGGGGAGTGAGATTCTGACAAAGCTTTGAGCGGTTCCAGCTTTGAGCTTTCCGATGAGTGGTTCGATGAGTTCCAGCTGGCTGACTTGCGTTGGGAATCCAGCTCGGAAGCTGTGACACGTCGGTTGGGGCAAAAAGTAGTGGCTCCAATGCATCTTCCTTCTCGGAGCGCGAGTTGTGACATTTCCTCATTCCAATTTTCCACATTTCAGGGTGGTGTGCAATGATAGGGTCGTGCCATATCAGCGGAGAGGAATTGGCTTGGATGCACCACCGCACGCCAGTGACAAATTCCTGTTCGGGTGTTTCGGGTGGTTGGAGGGTGGAAATGGTGGATGCAAGCATGGTCTGTGGAACTCGCAATGAAGAGAGTTTCCTCGCCTTGCATCCCTGTCGGAACTGCGAAGTTATTCGAAAATGTCGTCATTGTATGGGTTACTTGTGGTGTCGCAGACGCACCACACGGCCTCAGTTGGTGTCTCGCCAGCGGTTTATTTGTGGCGGCTTAGTACGGTTCCAAACGGTGGAAAACGGTTTAGGGGCGTCACTTTCTTTGTATCTCTACATTCTTTGCGTGGAGTAATGAAAACCAGCTCACACGTAGAACACATACCGTACCATTGATTGCGTATGGCTCTGCAATCCCAGCAGCACTCAAGGATTAGAGAGATGTCCACAGCTGCTCAACGTCACACATTTGCTAGCAGGTGACATGGCATTGACAGAGACGCCGAATTCTGGTTAATGTATACATTGACAGAGATGCTGATATTGAGTTAGCATTTACCCAAACATGAGTCCCTCTTCACGATTCACGAGTACGAGCTGAGATCTACCTTCTTGCCTGTTAGATGTGATGCAAGCGCTGCGCTCAAAGAGAATACGCACACAATGAGTAGAGGGGCAAGCACAGAGAGGGACATGCATGAAGCGGCAAGGGCATAAGGCACATGAGGCAAGTGCACCTCTTGGCAGTGCACACAGCGCCACGTGGCGTTTTACGATTGGGCAGCATTTCACATGTCGGCACACACCTTAGCTGTCATCTTCAGAGCCATTGGAGAACGCAATTAGCTCGGTGCGCCACGTGGCATTGAACGATTGGGCATCAATTCACATACATACCTTGGCTGTAGTCTCTACAATCGTTGGAGAACACCGTCAGCTCGGTGCGCCACGTGGCGTTGAACGACTGGACAGCATCAAGCGCGTCAGAGTGAATAGATGAGCCGACACACCAGCAGCGACGGGAGGGTAGGGAGGAGAGCGGGCGAATGAGCAGATATCCTGAGAAACCGTTAAGTGGACGAGAGGAAGGAGAGAGGGGTAACGTGGGGATCAGACAGCGTGAGCAGACAAGCCGATGCACCAGCAGCGGCGGGAAGGGAGGTAGGAGAAAGGGCGAATGAGCAGATAGCCTGGAAATGGAGGGACAGTAGAATGGTAAGTGGGAGGGGAATGGAGTATGGGAGGATTTTGCTGGAGTGAGCTGACGAGCAGAGACACTAACAGCGAAGGAAGTCAGGGTGTGGGACAGTGGTTGAGCGAACATGCAGCCTGGGGGCCGTTCAGAGGGAGGAGGGAGGGATGTTAATAGCCAGATGCCAGTGCATGAACGAGCATATAGCATGAAGACAACCGGAAGGGGGAGGGAGGGAAGCAGATGGAGTGCATGTGACATGGTATGGGGCCTGTGACATGGCATGGCCTTTGGCATGGCATACGGCATGTGATATGGCATGGCGCTTGGCATGGGGCATGTGAAAAGATGAAGCTGCCAGCCTCCTACCTGGCACATGTGCAGTGCAGGGAGCATGGGAACACATGGCATGCCATGGCATGTGGCATGCCGCATGTGAGCAAGGCATGGAAAAAGACAAGGCTAGAGACAGGTGCAGATTCTATCCACCAACCAGGCGCAGGCTAGAGCTGTCACCCACCCATGCACCAACCCACCAGACGGTGCCAGTGACTTGGAACAATACCACCCACGCACCCACCCACCAGGCACAGGCTGCAGCGCCAACACTCTGAGAGCCACTCCCATGTTCTGCGGGTCATCGGGTCGGAAGTCAAAGAGGTAGCACTGGGGGGAGGGAAGAGGAGGGGGGCCAGGAGGTGGGGAGAAGGTGTGCGGAACATTACAGGCTAAGCAACATCTCAACTACCATGTCCTGTGGGTTATCTGGCCTGAAGTCAAGGACGTAGCACTGGAGAGGGAAAGAGAAGGGAGGGGGAGGAAGGAAGTGAGAGGAGGGGAGAACTTGAGTAGAAAGAAACAGACTAATCAACAACTCAGCTCCCATTTCTTGTGGGTTATCTGGTCTGGCCCGAAATCAAAGAGGTAGCATTTGGGGGGGGGGGGGGGGAGAGATTGGGGAGAAGGAGAGGGGGAGAAGAAGGGGGAGGAAGGAAGAGCGTGTGCGGAACACAGCGGTCCTAGTGACATCGCAACGTTTGGAAATAACGCATCTCCACAACGGACGTTTAGAACTCCATCCGTTAAAAGCCTCACCTCTCCATTTTCTCTCGCTATAATCACCACCCAGTGACTGCACAGCAGAGGAAATAGCCGTCCTGCCATGTCAGCAACCCACTGCGGCGGTCCGGCTGGCGCGTCCAACGGAATCGACGAAACGAATACGCGATCCGGCTGCTGCAGCGTTGACCGCGTTGACCGCGTTGACTCCGTTGACTCGCATATTCGCTGCGGGTCTTCGGGCCGAAGGTCCCGAAAATCCACAGGCGGATTTTTAGGCGATTCTTCTGCTAATTTCGCCCGTACAAAACTACGTCTCGAAGAAATTGACCTATACAAAGCTGGAGAATACGACGTTCTGTCAATATCTACCCAGTTAGCGGTAATTAGGTCATTTGTGGACCGTCGGAGTGACGGAGAGCCGATAGCGGTGTCATATGCAGCGGAAGTATCGCCAAAAAGAACGCATTTTGCGACTGGCGAGTGGCTCGATACGCGCGGATTCGCGCGGATGATTCGTTTGAAACGAAATGGGAGATCGAAGGAGTTCGTACGCGAAACGGACGAGAGAATTAGCCTGCGGGACGTGACAAAAACAGAGCCATTGCTGGCCTGAAAGCTACTGACTACTCGCCTTCCTTCACAGCCGTTCGAGGCTGTCAAAATGTGGGTGTTTGCAGTGCGCCGGTGAGGGAGAAACGCGGGCGAATCGGCGCATGCGGCGGAGATGACGGGGAGCGAAAGGCGGGGCATGGCGAGGTGATGATGGTGGTGATGATTTTGGAGTGGGGGGAGAAAAAAGACTTCGTATAAGCTCATGCGTTAGCAACTACGGTACTTGTGCTGTCCTACTTTTGACTCATACGTGCTAGGAAGCTTGAAAGCTTTCTAGTTTCCATATAGTTGATGTCGATAAAACGAATGACTTGCAATGCAATGTGGATAGCGAATTCTGTAGTAATGGATTGGGAATCAGAGTGGGCAGCTTGGCCAGTTTGGCAGCAGAAAGGGACCACTAGAGACAACTCTGGACAATATATGCAGAACTGGTTCGGTTTGGTTGCAGGGCAGATTTGGCGGTAAGGAAACTCAATTCATTGAAATGAGTACAAGCTCGCAAATGACCCACTAATTCTGGATGCCGTTGGAATTCAAGGACCTGGCTGGAGACATCAGCGTATTTCCTGTCATTGGCTATCATTGCTGTTCGTTTCTACCAAAATTGTTAAGAACTGTAGCTAGCGGAAGGAAAATTCTCCAACGAGCAGCTACACTGCCGACAGTGTCGGCCACGGATGGAAGGGTTTCTTTCAATGAGACTTTTTGTCACAGTCCCATAGATTCCGCGTGAATCTCGATTTGGCCTGGTTGGTCCTCTTCAATTCAGTTGTGCAAGTGGGCGCGGCGCGACTTGTTTCTTTAGATTTGATTCGCACTCAACTTGGCCCCACGTTCAACTCCTTCCACCCGCATCGCACCATTGGACGAAACACAATTCCCGCAGCGCTGCCCGCATTTCCCGTCAGCCGCACACCCATGCTGTTTTGCTTGGCTCAGCGCGCTTCCTCCAAGGACCAGGGTCCGTCTCTCTCTTCCACCACACCCATGTCGTCTCATTCAGGTTACCACATACAGCCTGGCCTCGCCTGCTTCGCATCATCTCGCCATAGCACGCCTCGAATCGCCACCAATATCCAACCACCACACACCCCCGCCTCAACCTCTTTGGTGCCCTCCACTTCATCCCCACTTCCCCAGGGCACATCCTGTGCTACGCGTCGCTTGCACGACTCTTCACGTCACTCGCCCATTCCATCCTCCACGAGTCCGATTGACCTACGTGTTACTCAACTCGGCAACAATGAGATAAATGTCGCTTCACAGCTACACACTAATTTCAATATCATTGTTCCCCAACGGTTCCGCTTTGCTTGTCGCACTAGAGCAAGTTTTGCTTCTCACGTCGATCTCTTCTGATCGAAGCCTCCACAGTGGACTGTTACAAACTTTTGCTTCCATTCCGGGGGCGACACGGCGTCGTCCAGGTGCTAATTTCGATTCCTTGAGTGATCCGAATGGCGATGGCGATGTCTCGATGGGGCCTTGACAAGCTCCTCCGCTCGCGAAGCAGCGACAAGCTCGTCTCGCTCCTCCTTCCCGACGGGAGCATGGAAATGTTCGGCGAGGGGAAGACCGTCGCGGATATCATGGCGGAATATCCGGGGCACTATGTCGGCAGCATCACTTCCTCTCGCCCGTGTCTCGCGCCGGAGAAGGCGCTTCACCCTGGAAGCACCTACTACCTCGAGCCTGAGCAATCGCCGCTGAAAGGAGCTAAGTCTCTCCCTTCTAACAACGGCAAGGATGTTAAGGGACTGTTACCTGATGGCGATCGCAATGAAAGGCCGGCGCCGCGGAGCGCTCGCAAGGAGACGAGGAAAGACGAAAGGGAAGGCAACCTTCTGGCTGAGAATGGACAGGCGGCTGGCTTCATTCCGCGCCGCATGTCGCTCGATGCCGGCGCGGTTTTCAGCCGCCAACTAAGCGCCGATGGCGCCGCCCTTGCCGCCGCGGTCGCTGCTTCTTCTTCCATGCGACATTCCGACTACGTCTTCGACGACAACGACGACAACGGTGACGACGGCGACAACGAGGAGATGATTTCGCCGTTTCAGGCTGCCAACCGTGTCGTGTCACGTCGCGCGTCCCTCTCCGACGCTGCATCCGCCAGATCCGCTGCAGCGTCGCTTGCCGAAGCGCGCCAGCTCTGGCAAGACGAGACGAACATGCGCCATCACTCCCAGCCGAGGCGGGTAAATTCATTCAGTGATCTTACAAGTGTCCATGGCGGCGGCAATGACTGTGAGTTCAACGGCTACAACCCCGCGGCTGAGCAGCAGAGTCCGTTCCCCCAGCTTGAGCGCCAGCCGTCGTGCTGCCGCTCCTGCGGAGGCTGCGCTTGCGGGGGTGGCAGCATGCGTTCGTCGCGCTGCCCCTCGCCGGCTCCGCCAGTCCGATCCCCTTCCGCCGCCGCCTTCCCCGACTTCGAGGGCGGCGATATCGCCAGGGGCTGCGCCTTGGATTCCGCCTATGGCGCAACCGGCGGAAGGAGCGGGCGGCGCGCGCTGCACCGTGGCGCCGGCAGTGCGCAAGATGGATATGCGCGGCCCGCTTTCCCGGATTATGACGCTTCTGCGGCCGCAGCGGCTTGTGGGCTCGTTCCGTCACCGTCACCGCCGCCGCCGGGGTTGGCGCATTGGCAGCAGCAACAGACCTTCTCAAGATCTGCCACGTATAGCCGCAACGACACTCGCGAAAACGACACTCGCGAATACGACTCTCCGCGCGACCCGCTGCCTGCGCCACGCGCGCGCTTCCCCTCCGCGCCGTCGACGCCCGTCCGCCGAACGAGTCTGGACCACCGCGCTATGCGGGCGGGCCGTCCGCACCCCGCGGACGCGTCCGCCGCCGTAGCGTCTCTCCGCGGCGGGAGCCCAAGGGCAGATGTTCGAAGCGTGTTCTCCGCGATTGACTCGGATAACGAGAGCCACTGCGACGACGGTGAGATTGCTGACGAGGAGGGGAGCGTGAAGTCCGGTTACTCGTTGCCTTCGCCACAGGATGCGGCAGCGGCGGAAGAGAGGCGGAGGGAGCGGGAGAAGCGGGAATGGATGATAATGCAGCGGCAGATGATGCGCCAACAGCACATGCTGCACCAGCAGCAGCGGCAGCAGCAGCAGCAGCAGCAGATGCAGCATCATCAGATGCAGCAGTTTCAGCAGCAGCAGCAGATGCATTCCCAGCAACAGCAGGCAAGACATCAGATATCTTCTCAGCAAAGGGCGTCCTCTCCGAGACTACACCACCAACACCACATCCAGCACCACAACCAGCATCACAACCAGCAGCAGCAACAGCCACGTCTTTCCCGCCGGTCTGCCAACTCAGCATCCGGTCGGTCGGCAGGGCTACCACCACGTGCCGTCTCCCCACTTCCTCCCATTCCGGCAAACCACGTGTCGCCTCCCAACTCATGTGATTTTCTGTGCAGCCCTGGGGCTGCACCGGGCTCGCAAAAGCACAATGAGATGACCAGAGATGGTGATCTTATTACAGAGGACTCAAGAAGTCGCTCCTGTGCATCTCTTAGCAGCTTGAGTGCGGAGTTTGTTGTGGCACATCAGTCGGCTGGCATGTCTTCTTGGGGTTCTTATCCCAGCTTGGAATCCTTGTCCCCAGAAGGCTCCTCTTTGGCAGGCAGCTCCCCTAGGCACCATTTCTAGTTTTGGTTGATAGCACAGGCTTGTGTGTTTGTGTCTTACCAAGTTACCATGGTATCTTTAATTGGAATATAAGTATTTTTAGCAACACAACTCTTTCGAAGTAATGAACTTCTCACTGTAACGATTTACAAATCCTTACTGAGGCGCTCGATAGCGAGGCCATCCCGAGGGCCACGCTCTGGTTCGGCCTACATTTTCGCATCCCAACCTCACCGAGCCGCCTCCGCACCAATCGCGACACTTCGCGAGCCAACCCTACCACACCATCCCCGCCTAGCTAGGTTTTCCCCTTTTTAGGCCTCGCTACCGTCATCGCCCGGATATAAGACATATATGTCTTATCTCGTACACGGGCAAAAATGCTTGAGTTATCTTGTAAACGGGATGGTTTAGGGTGTCTTATAAATCTTATAAATGGACAAAGAACCGTTTAGAAGATACCCCCTCGCTATACATTTGCCCCTAACTCCTACACTTTCTTAACCCGTACACACAAATAGGTGTCTTATAATGAGGCTAGCCTGTTTATAAGAGACACCCGTATAATAGACAACCCTTGTCTACTATTCAACACTGTCTTATATCCGGGTGATGACGCTACTTCATTGTTCAGGCATTCTGTAGTTCAACATTCTCGTTATTCGATATCTGCGCACTCTGACAAGTTCATTCATAACACCTGGTATCAGAGCTACTTTCCTAGCCTACCCCGCTTTTTAGAGTGTATTACCCCTCGGGGGGGGGACGAGTAAGGATGCCTTGGGGTCCAGGAGTTGCGTAGGCCGGCCAAGAGAACTAGTTAGTTGCTCTTCGCGGCCATAGTTTTACGGGGCACTCCTTCGGCACCGCCAGATCCTTAGCTCGAACGGTCGCGATCGACCGTGACCTCCCTCCCCCCGGGCAACGGACAGCTGGAGCTGTCGCGACATCGAACGTGAGTTACTATTTCCGCTGCGGTTTTAACGACGATTTCGAAACTGTGAGGCAGCTGGCGTCAGCGGATCTGCGTCGGCACCTGCACGAAGATTTCGGAAGTCGTCACGATGTGTGGCAGTTGACGCCGTCGGACCCGAGTCAACAACTGCGCGACAACTTCGGAGTCCGTCCCATGCGGCAAGTGACAACGGTGGCTCGTCGTCATCATGCGCGCGCGACTCACGGAGTGTGGCTCGGCAGCTGGCGACAAGGAACGTGCGTCACTGTGGCGAAAATTTCGGAGCTTCTGTTGAAGAAAACGTCGGCTGGGGAACTCGCCAGGCGCAAAAGGAGTTTGCGTCCGAAAATGTCGGTGGCGAGGAGAGACGACACAAGACTGCCCGACTTCGCGGGAGTTAACTGCCGTCCCGCCCGACCTGTTAAGTGCGGCAGCTTTTACTGCATTGGCGGGCGCGTCATCAACAAATTCGGCAAAAGTGCTCGTGGACAGACGGGACTTCATACCTGCTGACGCTTACGGGCTGCAACGGAAAACGCGATGGCTAAACCGCACTTACGAGGAGTGGGACGCAGGCGACGAGGGAAATCGGGGCAGGTACACCTCGAAAGAACTCGTGCGACGCTGCGTGCCTGGTGTTGTTGCAAGCTGGCCGGCAGTATCGAGAACAGTTTCCCCTGACCAAGGATGTTGTTTTCGGGGACAGCTGCTGACAACCCACGGTTAAACGGTGTCCAAGGTACCGCCCGATAATTTCGGAGGGGTCGGTACAGGCTGCCGGGACACGCGAGAAGAAACGGCCCAACGGCTAAGCGGGGGTTGAAGAACGTTGCGGGGGCAGATTAAAAGCCGGTGGAATCGCTCTGCGGCCCTACTTCGCCCGAACCTCACCATCCCCACCAAGTCCTGGTTCTGACTCATGCAGTCAACCTACTTGGCCGAATAACGGGGGTGAACACGTGGCCTACCCTGCGCTGGTTAAAGGTACCGGGTTTGGTGCCCGTTCGACAGCTGTACAGAAAAAATACAAAAAAAAAAAAAAAAAGTGGAGCTCGCGGCACTGTTCTACTCCGACAAAAGCGGGCTGGGTGAACGGCACGCGAAAAAGTCGGGGAGCTGCGAAGAAGAAATGGTGCAGTCTACAGGTTTCTCCTGACCCGGGCGTCTACACGAATCGACGGCGCAGCGGCGAAGCTGAGACCGGGAAGCTGTGGATTTTACGTGACGTGATAGGCACGGCGGGCTGCAAAACGGTTGGGCGACAGTTTCCTTTTAACTAAGGCTGCCCCGACTCCGATAGTTTTTGCTTCTAAACCGTGGCCGAGTTCGCGCGGGCAACAACGACGATACCCCATCCGACAAAAGCGGACGCTGGGTGAACGGCGGGAAGCGGAATTGTCGGGGGGTGAATACGAAAAAATTGATGACGGAAGGGAAAGTTGTGGGTGATCCAGCAGATCACTTGAGTGATAGGTTGAGCCCGTGCACCAATCTACCGCGAATTTCGGAGTCTATTCGGTAGACCCCCGAAAGGGTTTGATATCGTTACATGGAGGCGCGGCGAGCGGTACATTGCCAAGGATACCTGGGATTCGCTAAGTAGTCCGGCGGGTACGAAGATGGGTGAACATCGGAGTACCAGGGAAAAAACGGCGGAAACGTCGGGGCTATACGGCGGAGAATAACTTCGGGACTGCAGCCTCAACCACGATTTTCGGGGTTATCTTTCTACAAAAGAAAAAAAAAAAGGAGTTGAAGCTGAGGGTGTTTCTTCGTTTCTTGGAGTGCGGTTGATACCTAGGACCCACGGGTGTTTAAACGTACACCGCGGGAAATTCTTCAGGGAGCGTGGGAGCAGCCGAGGCTTCGGGATTTACCTGCCGGTGACGAGCGATGAGGTGAAACATCGCAAAGCGCCAGTGGGAGTTTGCGTGGTTTTCAGTTAAGCGACACCGACTGGAGCAGTTTCGACGACGGGGTCAAAGGCGTTGATGCCACTAGGTTCCGTGAAATTCGGTCTCGGAAGACCCAGGGCAGTCCCCGGTTCTCGATTGAACCCACATGCTGGGGTAGGGTAAACCGACGGAAACTGATGGTGACCAGGTGGGGGCTATAGCACGACCGAAGATTTCGGAGGCGAACTGCACCTGCAACTGCGGAGTTTCGGGGTTATGTTCCAACGACATTTTCGGAGATTTCAACGGGGACTTGCAGGTTTTACGGCGGGAAGCGGCGACAACATCGGAGGAGTATTCGGCGTTTGATTAAACGCGCGCGCATTTGTGTGGGCAACACTGCGAGATCTACACGGAGTTTTCAAGGGGTACAAAGGACTTACGACGAACTGGAGGTGGCAGCAGCAACAGTGGAAGGGGGGAGAGACAGCTGTAATTTTTTCATCTCTGCCCAGGACCCCTCGGCGCAACGCGACAAACTCCTCGGCGAGTCTGGACAAACTGCCGGGAGTAGCTGACGTCATCTGACCCTGATAAAGTGTTCGACAATTCTCCACGGAGCGACATTCAAATTGGTTACTGTTTCGACAACAATCGCCGACCATCGCATTCGACTTCGCGATCAATCGCCTTCATCGCCGACAGTTTCGTACCATCCCCGATTTTACGGCCAGAGGATTTCGGGACAGGAACTCCAACTCTACTAACGACAATTCGCCCACCTCGACCCGCTCAGGACAAATGAGTTTACACTCTCCCACAATTATGGTCGAGGCAGCTGCTGGAACTTTTATGGTGTGTTTTCTTGGAGTGGGGGAGAAAGTGCTTCGCACTGTTCTTTCCTTGGCGTTTTCTTGGTCCTTTTCTGACTTTGTCAGGTTGCGTCAGCACGACGAACGTCTACGATTGCTGCTTCACGATCAACGATCCCTACTCAATCGCGTTTGAATTCGCGTCAGCAGGTTCCCTCCAAAATCGCATCTGCCTCGACCGTCAGATTCGCTGCTGCTCGATCAACGGCCCACATTCCAACTTCCACTTCATTTTGGGCCAGCTCATCCTCATCCGTCAGATCGACATCTGACTGCATCTACGGCCCACAATCCAACTTTCATTACATTTGGGCCACTTCATCTTCGACCGTCAGATCGAAATCTGACAACATCAACGGCCGACATTCCAACCTTTTCAACAATATTGTCTGGGGCATTTCAGCCGTCGGATTCAGCTGAAGTGAAGATCAACGGCATCCTCGCTACTGGGTGACCCTTTTCAGTACAGGGCTGCCTTATTTAGGAGGTGGGAGAGTGTAAGGATTTACAAATCCTTACTGAGGCGCTCGATAGCGAGGCCATCCCGAGGGCCACGCGAGCCTCTGGTTCGGCCTACATTTTCGCATCCCAACCTCACCGAGCCGCCTCCGCACCAATCGCGACACTTCGCGAGCCAACCCTACCACACCATCCCCGCCTAGCTAGGTTTTCCCCTATTTAGGCCTCGCTACTTCATTGTTCAGGCATTCTGTAGTTCAACATTCTCGTTATTCGATATCTGCGCACTCTGACAAGTTCATTCATAACACTCACCATGTAAAACTTCAGTTTCTTCACTCATGAAGACTCATCAAACTGTTTTAATCACATTTTCTGTTCATTGGGATGGCCCATGTGTAAATTCAATCTGTTTAAAAGCCTTGGTGTATTCTGGTTCTTGGGATGGATTGTCTGATTCGCGTATTTGCTGCCGCCAATCACAACCCCCGCCCATAGATTTTACCTTCTCGAAATTGCCGCCCCCCATTCGCTGCACGAACTCCCCGGAAACTTGGAGCCTCCCCATTCGCTGTGCCGCACGCGCGGAAATTCGCGCGGTAGCTCTGTGTAGCGGGAGGATCCCTAAACTGGGGATTAGCGGAAGCGGTGGGAGAAGGCGGAATTCTCAAGGTTTGCCTTGGCGATGCTCATTGGCTGGCAGGCAAATGAATGGAACGTCAACCTCAAGCTTTTAGGCTCATAGCTTTCAGTGAAAGCCTTTTGTTCCTGAAGCGACCTTGCATTAGTGGTCTCACTACAGGCCAGCTAGGTCGAGGTTCGCTTCAGTGGTGCTACTGTTAGTATCCAACTTTTAATAACTGCCGGGCCGGTCTATAGGAGCTTTCAGGATGTCTGCAGCTCGGTTCTATGCAGGATCAGTTGTAGCTCGGTCCGCCTTACATGGGTTAGAAAATTCGGAGCATAGCCAACCCATTAAGGGTGGTAGTTGCCGGTTGAGAACACGAATTCGTGGAGCATCTCTGTCAATCATTCATGGTCCCTCCATTGGTCACAGCGTCATTCCAGCAAAGAGAGTGCATCAATCATGCCGGCCAGTTTGTGCGATTCCCCCATTGGTCGAGTCACCAGCAGCCAATCCCGAAGCAGCGTTTGCTGACACCGAGGATTTCACCAAGGCAGGCGGCTCTGACCTGCATTACGTCCAGATGCAGGCTACCAAGCCGATGGAGGATCAGCCAAAGATCGCCAGCAAGGTACTTGATTCCTGGAAGTATGATGAATTCGGCAAAGAACCCAGCAACTCTTAAGACGTCAAACGCAAGACGTAAAGAACAAGTGTAGGAGCAATGTGATAGGAATGTAAGTCCAAATTTACTTGTCTCTCTCTCACCCGAACAGCTACTCCACTAGACACCAAAGACACATCCGTGTTCGACGTGCTGCTTACTGAGTTTGTTATCATTGTCCTTGTCGTTCAAATTCACCTTCTCCGCTCGCCACCCGCACAGCTCCTCCCTCTAGACACCGAAGACGCTTCCGTGCTGGATGTGCTGCTAATTCGTTCTGTTATCATTTCCATTGTACTCGTCTCGTCTCTTTTCACCCTCCTCTCGTCACCGCACAGCTCCTCCCTCTAGACCCCAAAGACTCTTCCGTGCTCGACGTCTTGGTCGTCGGCTGTGGGCCGGCGGGGCTCTCTATCGCGGCTGAGTGCGCCAAGCGCGGACTCACGGTGGGACTCGTTGGCAGAGATGCTCCTTTCGTCAACAATTACGGCGTCTGGCTCGACGAATTCAAAGGTATGCAGCTTCTGGGACGCGTCATATGTCGTTAACTGCGGATGAGTGCGCCAAGCGGGGACTCACGGTGGGGCTCGTTGGGAGAGATGCGCCCTTCGTCAACAATTACGGCGTCTGGCTCGACGAATTCAAAGGTACGCAGCGTCTGGGACACCTCATATGTCGTTTACTGCGGCGGAGTGTGCCAGGCGCGGACTTACAGAAGGGCTCGTTGTCGAAGATGCACTCTTCGTCAATATTACTGGGTCACATCTGCTGGAGTCACAAATTGACCTTTATACCGACTGGTAACTGAGGCGAAAGCTATTGCGCTGGGCTGGGGCGTCAACTCTTTCAGAATTTGAACCAGCAGCTATGCCAACAAAACGTCCAAATGTAAATGTAAATTCACAAAATGCTGTGGACCGCCCCCTCATTTTTCTGGCGTTCTTCACACTGTCTGGCTGCAGCCGTTGGGTTGGACCACTGCATCAATCAGGTGTGGACCGGCACTGTCGGTATCCTACTTGGCTCAGCTCAGATAATGTAATCACCCCTGTCGCTCATTGCCAAACAGTATCCTTTCTCTATCACCTCTGCTCCTCTCCTTCCCCACGCACTTTGTACAGCCATTGGATTGGAGCACTGTATCGATCAAGTGTGGACCGACACTATCCTATACACGGACTCCGATGTTCCCATCACCACGGGGCGGGCGTATGGCCGGGTAGAGCGCTCAAGACTCCACAACGAGCTCGTTCTGAGGTCAGAATCTGCTTATAACGGGGATGCTTGGTTCTGAATTATAACGCGGATGCTCTATACACAGACTCAACGAACACATTCTACCTGTTTCGGAATGCCCTACTGCTCACCCTGCCCTGCCACGAGATGCGAGCAGGCAGGGGAAGCAGAACAGTGGCGTTTAAATTGACTGAATAGGCGCACCACATTCTACTTGTTTTTGAATGGTCTCTTGCGCGCCCTGCTACCAGATGCCAGCAGGCGGGGGTGCGGTATGTGGAGAAGGAGGTGGAGAGCATAGAGGACGACGCGAGGATGGAACAGCACATTGAAGTTTGTATCAATTCAGCAGCCACATTTTACCTGTTTTCGATGATCTTATGCTCGCCCTTTCCCACCAGGTGCCAGCAGGCGGGGGTGCGGTATGTGGAGAAGGAGGTGGAGAGCATAGATGACGCTGCGCGGAGCAGCACAGTGGCGTGCACTGATGGCTCGTGCATCAACAGCAGGTGAGCTGAGCTGGCAGTGCCTGAAAGCCTGCAAGATGAGCGCTTTGGTGTGAGAATCTCATGCATTGGAGCAGCACAGTGGCGTGCACTGATGGCTCGCGCATTAACAGCAGGTGAGCTGAGCTGGCAGTGTTAGAGTGGGAAGATGGGCATTTTGGGCTGGGAAATCAAGCTGCTCAAGCACTGGCACTCTCGTGTGTTGTGTTGTATCTTTTTAGTGGAGCACACTTTCGCGTAGGCTGATGGATCTTCTCTGTTTCTTTCATCCTCATATACGGCCATGCAACAGGCTCGTTGTGGTGGCGGCTGGAGCAGCTTCTGGGAAGTTTCTCGAGTACGACAATGACATGAGAGGCGTGGGCGTGCAAACAGCATACGGCATCGAAGTGGAGGTACGGACTTTGAAAAATAGGTACACGTTGCTTGAAGGCATGGGGCTGAACGTGGAGGTTTGAAACTTCAGTCCCCTCATAGTTTTACAATTAGAGTTTTGCAGCAGTCCTACAGTTCCGTGTTTTTGCCCTCCAGAGCTAGAGCTCAAAATGCACAGCCAGCATGCTCTTCGTGGACTACCGGGACTTCGTGTGTTCCAGTGAGGAGCAGACAGGGGAGGGTCACAGCGTTTCACCACTCCATCTCCACCACTCTTCACTCCATCTCTGACTGTTTTTACTGCTCATCTCTGCCATTTTTTCCTCTTCCACCCACAGCTGGACTCAGCCTGCCCGTACAACCCAGCCAGCATGCTCTTCATGGACTACCGGGACCTCATACGCTCCAGTGCTATACGCTACATACCCACTCTGTACCTGCCAATCTGCTACGATTGCCTGTTTCCTCCTCCCTATCCCCCCCACCAGCTCGACTCAGCCTACCCGTACAACCCAGCCAGCATGCTCTTCATGGGCTACCGGGACCTCCAACGCTCCAGGCGGGAGCTGGGGGCTGAGGGGGAGGAGGATATTTCATGCCGCGTTCTTTGACAGTTTTCCTACAATTCCCTTTCCCTCTGCATGCCTCAGTGCCCCCATCATCACCTTCCCCCCACTCGTCAAAACTCGCCATGTCTCCACTCACCTTGCTTATACCTGTCTCATCTCCACTCGCTCTCCCTTCCCTCCTCGTCGCACCTCTCAATATACTGTGCTCTGCCCTCCCTTCCCCCTCTCTCTCACTCTCTTCCAAATCCTCATCACTCCAACCACTCCCTTCCATGCTCACACCATTCGCTCGCTCACACTCTCCCTTTTCATCATCACATCTCAACTCACCCTCTCCATTCCCCATCTTACAGCACCCCTCCACCACACTTCTCTCCACCACACCCCTCTCCACCGCACTCTCCTCCTCCCTAAACACCTCCAGCACCTCCTGCCACCACTCCTTCCCCCCACCCACATGCTTCTCTGCACTCTCCTCTCCTGTTTCCTCCTCCTCCTCTGCAATCCCCTCTGCCTCTCGCTCACCACCTCCCACTTCTTTCTCGCCCTCATTCCCTCCATTCTCCTCTTCCTCCATCCAACACACTTCTGCCTCCTCCCTCCCACCACCAACCGCTTTTTTCTCCTCCTCCTTTTCGTACAACACACCAGCACGCTCCCTAAAATCGCCATCCCTTGAAGCATGCCCATCCATTCCACCCCCCGCCGCCCTCCACCCTCTCGCACAAGCATTTTCTTCCATCTCTCCCTGCTCTCGCCTTGCCTGCTGCTGTTTTGATTGTTGCCGCTCTGCCTGCGGCCCTGCCTGCGGCCCTGCCTGCGGCCCTGCCTGCTGTCGCCATCCCTGCTGCCGCCCAAGCCCATGAGCGGGGTAAAGCAAGGCATCCCCTCCCTCACACACATGTGCTGGCAGCGGCGGGGCAGGGGGGCACACAGGCAGCAGACGCACGTAGTGCACTGCTGCTAGCTGGAAGGGGGAACGTGGGATGAACAAGAGGGGGGAGGTGAGGAGGGAGGGGGATAGAAATGAGGAGCTGGAAATAACTTAGGAGGCTGGAGGTCCAACGCTCCAGTGCTATACGCTACATACCCACTCTGTACCTGCCAATCTGCTACGATTGCCTGTTTCCTCCTCCCTTTCCCCCCATCACAGCTCGACTCAGCCTACCCATACAACCCAGCCAGCATGCTCTTCATGGACTACCGGGATCTCCAACGCTCCAGTGCTATACGCTACATACCCACTCTGTACCTGCCAATCTGCTACAATTGCCTGTTTCCTCCTCCCTTTCCCCCCATCACAGCTCGACTCAGCCTACCCGTACAACCCAGCCAGCATGCTCTTCATGGACTACCGGGACCTCCAACGCTCCAGCAAGGAGGAGGCAGCCGAGGGGGAGGGTAATATGCCAGAGGATGCGCCATGGTACTCTGTTTCTGACCGTTATTCGACCTTTTCTCTTCACTCGCTCCTTGTTCTCCCTGCGCAGCTCGACTCAGCCTACCCGTACAACCCAGCCAGCATGCTCTTCTTGGACTACCGGGACCTCTCACGCTCCAGTGCAATACGCTACCCTACTCTACACCTGATAGCCTGTTACCATTGCCTGTTGCTTGCTTCCTTTCCCCCCATCACAGCTCGACTCAGCCTACCCGTACAACCCAGCCAGCATGCTCTTCATGGACTACCGGGACCTCATACGCTCCCGTGAGGAGGAGGCAGCGGAGGGGGAGCTGTCTCAGCGCCCCAGCTTCCTCTACGCCATGCCTTCCACCCCCACACGGGTGTTCTTCCAGGTGAGTGGTGACAGTGGAATGCTCTCTCTTTTTTGTGGTAGTTTTAGATTTATGAGGGCAGCCGAGGGGGAGCTCGCCCAGCGCCCCAGCTTCCTCTACGCCATGCCCTCCACCCCCACACGGGTGTTCTTCCAGGTGAGTGCAGAAGAATGGCTAGACCCACCCACGCCTCCCTGGATAACAGGAAACGTGCCTGGCGTCCCGCCCTGCAATGCCATTCGACATGCTCAAGACGCGCCTGCTTCATTTCCCTTCCTCTCTGTCCTTCAACATCCCCTCTTCGCCCATTCGCCCATTCACATGTAACAGGAGACGTGCCTGGCCTCCCGCCCTGCAATGCTATTTGACATGCTCAAAACGCGCCTGCTTGTTTCCCTTCCTCTCTGTCCTTCATCATCCCCTCTTCCCCCACCCACACATTCATATGTAACAGGGGACCTGCCTGGCGTCCCGTCCTGCAATGTCATTTGACATGCTCAAAACGCGCCTGCTTGTTTTCCTTCCTCTCTGTCCTTCATCATCCCCTCTTCCCCCACCCGCACATTCACATGCAACAGGAGACGTGCCTGGCGTCCCGCCCTGCAATGCCGTTTGACATGCTCAAGACGCGCCTGCGCAGCCGACTTGCACAGCTGGGGGTGAAATACTCCGTCACGCATGAGGAGGTGAGTGAGAGCCGTGTTCTTCATAATCATTTCTCCCGAATCATTTCTTACCAGGAGTGGTCGTACATTCCAGTGGGCGGCTCTCTCCCTCTCACCACGCAGCAGCACTTGGGCTCCCCCGCCCCCACCACTGTGCCCCCCACTCCAATCCCCACTCCCATTCCCCTTGCTCTCTCCCTCTTACCAGGAGTGGTCGTACATTCCAGTGGGCGGCTCTCTCCCTCTCACCACGCAGCAGCACTTGGGCTTTGGTGCTGCTGCATCCATGATCCATCCCGCCACAGGTAAGCATCGTTGGAGATTGTTACTTCGAAACGCCGTCTCGATTTGGTGCTTCTATTCTATTCTAAGCACCATCTCCATGAAATGTTGACTCAAAATAAAAATTGCGGGTAATGAGACGACTTCTGAGGCGCCTCAAAAGTCGTCTTTTGAGGCGCCTCAAAAGTCGATTTGGTGCTTCTATTCTATTCGAAACGCCATCTCCATGAAATGTTGACTCATCCCGCCTGCCTGCCTGCCACGGGTAAGCACCACCATGGGAGATTTGGTACTCATGTAAGTCCAACTGTCAACTCAAGCTTGCTGTATGAAAGCATCCTTGGTGCTGCTGTCCTTCTCCCTCTCTGTCCCGCTGCCTTGTGGTTATGGCATCACTCCTTATCCCATCCATCTTTTCACATTCTGGCGACTCCATCACTCGCTACTCCTCACTACAATGCCACTGCTCTAGTTGTTGAATAACTGAATATTTCATTCTTCTCTGTCCATGACACTTTTTTCCACAGGCTACTCCATCACTCGCTCTCTCACAGAAGCTCCCCACTACGCCACTGCCCTTGCTGCTGCTCTGCGCTCTCCCAGCCAAACTTCACTAGAAGCCGCGACTCAAGGTAGGCTGGTTGCTGTGGGGCTGTGGGGCTGTCAATCTGTGGGGCTGTGTGTGGGGCTGCCTTCGCTGCTTCTCTGCGCTCTCCAGCTTAAATTAATTATAAGCTGCTGTTCTATGTGTGCTGGCTGGCTATGGGGCGGTGAGGCATGACATAGTCTAGGTGCAGTGCGGTTGTAAGGTTGTGGTTTATGCGACGACGGTGAAGGTGTGGTGCGGTATGTCTAGGTGGCAGCAAGCGTTCCTAGTATTCATAGCCCCACCTTATCGTGATCCTCCTCCACACTTCTCCTTTCTTTGTAGGCCACTGAACAACTTCTCCGTGCCACTGTCATGTGCCTTGTGTCCTCTCCTTACGTAATCAGCCTGCGATCACCTGTGGTCCGTAGAGGGGTGCCTCTGCGATCACCTGTGATCCGCATAGTGCCAGAGGCAGCACTCCATCATATTTGGGCTGGTCTCGAGCTCACCCTACCCCTTCATCCTTCTCCACCCTGTTTCTCAACTACTTCCCTTCTCCCAGCCTGGGACCACCTGTGGTCGGCAGAGCGCAAGAGGCAGCAATCCTTCATGATCTTTGGCCTCGAGCTCATTCTGAAGCTCTTTCGTTCTCCTTCCTTTGTAGCCCACTCTGCTGTCCTCTGCACTGTGTCCTCTTCCCTGTGCTGTTTTCCGTTTCGAATCAGCGTGGGACCACCTGTGGTCAGCGGAGCGCAAGAGGCAGCAGTCCTTCATGATCTTTGGCCTCGAGCTCATTCTGAAACTCGACGCACCGGCCACCCGAGATTTCTTCAATGCATTCTTCAAGCTGCCCCCCAGGTGAGATTTCCCACCTATGTTGTGACTTTTGAGTCGACCCAAAAGTCAGGTGAGCGCTTTTCCACCTATGTTTCCACTTATGTACCTTCCCGCACATGAGTATTTCGTGAGATCTCAAGGCCAAACAGGCATGCCCTCTTCTCATGATTGCAAGTGAATCTATAATCACAAACCCTTTGAGGCAGCATACAGGCTAGACAGCATGCCTGCTACTGCGCTAAACGTTTCTCATTCCCCTAATTTGTGAAACTATTCACCCCACGCTTGTCCCGTTCCCCTTCTCTCCCCCTCTCTCCCCTGGTCTACCTCTCTCCACCCTGTTCCACACCGCCCCACCCCTCTCCACTGCTCTCCACTGCTCTTTACCCATCTCCACCCTCAGGCTATGGCGCGGCTTCCTGGCGTCCAACCTCTCCTCCCTCGACCTCCTTCTCTTCGCATTCTCCACCTTCCTGGTCGCCTCCAACCCTCTCCGCTTCCGCCTCATCCACCATCTCATCACCGACCCCAGCGGGGCAAACCTCATCCGCACTTATGCTGGAATCACAAACCTCACCTTTCAACCCCTCTCCACCCCTCTCCACCCCTCTGTGCCCCTCTCCACCACTTTCTACCCCTTTGCACCCCACTTCACCCCTCTCCATCCCTCAGGCTATGGCGGGGCTTCCTGGCGTCCAACCTCTCCTCCCTCGACCTCCTTCTCTTCGCCTTCACCTTCCTGGTTGCTTCCAACCCTCTCCGCTTCCGCCTCATCCACCTTCTCAAGACGGACCCCAGCGGGGCAAACCTCATTCGCACTTATGCTGGAATCACAAACCTCACCTTTCAACCCCTCTCCACCCCTCTGTGCCCCTCTCCACCACTTTCTACCCCTTTGCACCCCACTTCACCCCTCTCCATCCCTCAGGCTATGGCGGGGCTTCCTGGCGTCCAACCTCTCCTCCCTCGACCTCCTTCTCTTCGCCTTCTCCACCTTCCTGGTCGCCTCCAACCCTCTCCGCTTCCGCCTCATCCACCATCTCATCACCGACCCCAGCGGGGCAAACCTCATCCGCACTTACGTTGGAATCAAGAACCCTCCAGCTGAGAACCATGAGTAGAGCACTTGAAAAGTGAATCACGAATTTACTGGGACAGGGTGATCTGATCAAGAGTAGAGCACTTGGTTTGTTAAAGTGTCAGGTACTGTACATCGGCGCAATCCCTGGTCCGTACGTTGCGCTTACTGATGATGTGGAAAGTGTAGAATAGAAATTCAGTCACTGCTGTATAAGAGTGCGCTAGGTAGCAGGTTTGGGTGAACTGTTGTGAATTGGCATGGAAGGGCCATGTAATATGTGCATGAATTGTGGATTGTGGGGATGCATGATTGTCACATAAGCAATGTCTACTTCACAATTGCGATTCATCAGCCAGATTACTTACCGTATCAGCATCACAATGCACACCTGTACCCAGAAGTGTAATGGAGGAGTAGAAAAAAATGTGAGATCGCCATCAAATCTACAGTTGGTTAAAAGAATTTGATAACATGACAAACCGAATATCTAGCTAGAGTGTTACAGCTCGTCGTGAACCTCTTTCAGCTCATCCTCCATCTCTTTCAACTGCCTCTCCAGCTCCTGCAGTAAAGGCGAAGCACATATGGTCAAGCAAAGCACACTTCAAAAGTTTGCAGAGCTGTCACCAAGACAGTCAAGAAGGAAAAACACCTGCAAGGCGTGCATGCTAGTCACAGGTAGAGAATCAGTTGGGTCAGCACAGAAACACACAGCATTAACTGATATAAAGGTTGATATATATATATTATATTTATTCATATTTTCACATCCCCCTCACCTCTGCCAGCGCTGCATTGCACACCGCAGGCGTCACCAGCACCGCTTCGTACCTGACAAGGTCGAGGGGGAAGGGAAGAGGAATAGAGGGTAAGCGAGAGAGGGGCAGGAAGAGGGTGTGCTTTGGCTCGACTCAAAAGTCACTACGGTTGTCACCAGCACCACTTTGAGACGTCTCAAAAGGTGTGCTTCGAGTCAACTCAAAAGCCACTACGGGTGTCACCAGAACCACATCGTACCTGACAGGGTGGAGGGGGATGGGGAAAGGGAGGGGAGCAGAGTATTGTATAGTTGCTTGGTAGACTGTAGTCAAATCATTGACACATTGTTAAGGCAGTCAAATGTAGGCAGCTGTTCATCTCTAGGTGCCTCAAAGTGACCTTACAGGCGTTTCACAAGACAATTTCTGCATCGACTCAATAGTGACCTTACAGGCGTTTCACAAGACAATTTCTGCATCGACTCAATAGTGACCTTACAGGCGTTTCACAAGACAATTTCTGCGTCGACTCAATAGTGACCTTACAGGAGTTTCACAAGACAATTTCTGCGTCGACTCAATAGTGACCTTACAGGCGTTTCACAAGACAATTTCTGCGTCGACTCAATAGTGACCTTACAGGCGTTTCACAAGACAATTTCTGCGTCGACTCAATAGTGACCTTACAGGCGTTTCACAAGACAATTTCTGCGTCGACTCAATAGTGACCTTACAGGCGTTTCACAAGACAATTTCTGCGTCGACTCAATAGTGACCTTACAGGCGTTTCACAAGACAATTTCTGCGTCGACTCAATAGTGACCTTACAGGCGTTTCACAAGACAATTTCTGCGTCGACTCAATAGTGACCTTACAGGCGTTCCACGAGATGACCTTTGAGTCGACTCAATAGTGACCTAATGGGCTTCTCACGAGAAGCACACGCAGGAGTTTCAGTGGGTGGAACTAGAAGAACCAGGAGTAGAACAAGAGAGTGAATGGAGGACACTCACTCGCATCGGCTTGGCTCCTCCACTGATTTGATCCCTGTTTTGCTATTTGGGAGTCACTTTTGAGGATTCTCAAGAGAGTTTCGGCAGGCGGAACTAGAAGAACCAGGAGTGGAACAAGACGGACACTCACTCGCATCGGCTTGGTTCCTCCACTGATTTGATCCCTGTTTTGAGCCCACACTCCAGCTTCACATGCAGTGTGACAGACACACGAAGGGGAGGTTGAGAGATCCAGCCTTCGAAACGAAAGAGTCACTCACTCGCATCGGCTTGGCTCCTCCACGGATTTGATCCCTGTTTTGAGCCCACACTCTAGCTTCAGTGGGTGGAACTAGAAGAACCAGGCGTGGAACAAGAGCGAAGGAGGAACACTCACTCGCATCGGCTTGGCTCCTCCACTGATTTGATCCCTGTTTTGAGCCCACACTCCAGCTTCACATGCAGTGAGACAGACACACGAAGGGGAGGTTGAGAGATCCAGGCTTCGAAACAAAGAGTCACTCACTCGCATCGGCTTGGTTCCTCCACTGATTTGATCCCTGTTTTGAGCCCACACTCTAGCTTCAGTGGGTGGAACTAGAAGAACCAGGCGTGGAACAAGAGCGAAGGAGGAACACTCACTCGCATCGGCTTGGCTCCTCCACTGATTTGATCCCTGTTTTGAGCCCACACTCCAGCTTCACATGCAGTGAGACAGACACACGAAGGGGAGGTTGAGAGATCCAGGCTTCGAAACAAAGAGTCACTCACTCGCATCGGCTTGGTTCCTCCACTGATTTGATCCCTGTTTTGAGCCCACACTCCAGCTTCACATGCAGTGAGACAGACACACGAAGGGGAGGTTGAGAGATCCAGCCTTCGAAACAAAGAGTCACTCACTCGCATCGGCTTGGTTCCTCCACGGATTTGATCCCTGTTTTGAGCCCACACTCCAGCTTCACATGCAGTGAGACAGACACACGAAGGGGAGGTTGAGAGATCCAGCCTTCGAAACAAAGAGTCACTCACTCGCATCGGCTTGGTTCCTCCACGGATTTGATCCCTGTTTTGAGCCCACACTCCAGCTTCACATGCAGTGAGACAGACACACGAAGGGGAGGTTGAGAGATCCAGCCTTCGAAACAAAGAGTCACTCACTCGCATCGGCTTGGTTCCTCCACGGATTTGATCCCTGTTTTGAGCCCACACTCCAGCTTCACATGCAGTGAGACAGACACACGAAGGGGAGGGTGAGAGATCCAGCCTTCAAAACAAAGAGTCACTCACTCGCATCGGCTTGGTTCCTCCACGGATTTGATCCCTGTTTTGCGCCCACACTCCAGCTTATGTTTTTTGAGAATTCTAAGAAAACATACGCCAGGAGTAGAACAAGAGAGTGAAGGGAGGGCACTCACTCGCATCGGCTTGGTTCCTCCACTGATTTGATCCCTGTTTTGAGCCCACACTCCAGCTTCACTTTGATGCTTCTGTTCGGTCCGCCTTTTGAGACGTCTCAAAAGTGAAGGAAGGACACTCACTCGCATCGGCTAGGTTCCTCCACTGACTTGATCCCTGTTTTGAGCCCACACTCCAGCTTCACCTTGATGCTTCTGTTCGGTCCGTCTTTTGAGACGTCTCAAAAGTGAAGGAAGGACACTCACTCGCATCGGCTTGGTTCCTCCACTGATTTGATCCCTGCTTTGAGCCCACACTCCAGCTTCACCTTGATGCTTCTGTTCGGTCCGTTCCAACACTTATCTCCGTTCTTAAACATCATCGTGCGATAATTGTCCTCAAAGCCCGACCAGCGGCTGCAGGGATGAGATGGGAGGGAGGGAGACGGGAGGGCGAGGGGGAAGGGAGGGGGAAGGGAGGGAGAGGGAGGGGGAGGGGAGGGGGAGGGAGGGGGAGGGGACGGGGCGGGAGAGACTTTTTGAACATCATTGTGCGATAATTGTCCTCAAAGCCCGACCAGCGGCTGTAGGGACGATGGCGCATCAACAGAGAGAGGCAATGAATGGAAGGGGGGGGAGAACAACGATTCAGAGAATCAGGTGTTTCAGGACATGATCGTGAGATAGTTAGATCCCCAGAGCGCGACTAACGGCTGCAGGGATGAAGGCGCGGCGCTTTATCAAAGACGGTACATGGAAGGGGGATAAGAGCAAGGAAAGGGTTACAGGGTGTTTTTGAAGATTCTCAAAAAACACCCTGGAAGGGGGGATAAGGAATGGGTCAAACCGGAGCAAGGAAAGGGTTGTGGCGAAGGTGTGAAGGGTCATGATGGCAGGTAAGGAGCAGTGCACAGTGCTACGCGTCAACACCATACAGAACCACGCATCACCGCACAGCAGCATTAGCAGCCCTGACTCACCCCACAGTGGTATCAGAGTGATGCTTCTCCTGCTGCTTCACCTTCATACAGTAGCACATAGTACCGCACAGAACTGCACAGCATTGCACAGCACCACACGGCACCACACAGCAGCCCTGACTCACCCCACAGTGGTATCAGAGTGATGCTTCTCCTTCTGCTTCACCTGCCGATACGGGCACACCTCGTACTCGTACCTGGGAATGGTGGGGGAAGGAGAGGGGGGGGGAGAGAAGTGGGTGAATAAAACAGTGGTGAGTGTTCAGGTGGTGAAACATGATGCACCTGCCGGTATGGACACACCTCGTACTCATACCTGGGAATGGTGGGGGAAGGAGGGGGGGGGAAGCAGGAGAAAAAGGGAGAAGAGTCAATAGCAACAAGGCGAGTGGTGATGTCATGTGGTCAGACGTGCTTCACCTGCCGATACGGACACACATCGTACTCGTACTCGTACCTGGGAAAAGGGAAGGAGGGGGGAGAGAAGGGGATGAATAAAAACGATGGTGAGTGTTCAGGTGGTCAAATATGATTCACCTGGTGGTATGGACGCACCTCATACTCGTACCGGGGTATTGGGGGAAAGAGTCAATTCAATGCGTGCATTTACCTTAGGTGTGGTATTGGGAACAAGGAGGTAAAAAGCACGGCAGGCAAGGAAAATGAAAAATGCATGGATGGTGTGTTATCTTTGGCATGGACAAGCATGGTGCGGCATGGGGTTTGCTTGGCGCATCATGGGGGTATGCATTATTTGGCAGGGCGGCCCAACTGGTTGAGCTTTTAAAGGAAAACGAGTGGTCACTTCATGGGGGTATGCAAAAGTCACTCCGTGGCGCATCATGGGGGTATGCATTATGTGGCAGGGCATCCCAACTGGTTGAGGTTGACTTTTGAGTCAACTCAAAAGTCACTCCGCGGCACATCATGCAGGTATGTATAGGCGGAATGTCGTCTTAACTGGTTGACTTTGAAGGAAAAGCAGTGGTCTGCGAATGAAGCAAACTCGCCGTCAGGGCCTGCAGAGAGAAGAGGGAGAAGAGGATAGGAGGGAGGGAGGGATGGAGGGACGGAAGGAGGATGAATAGCGCAATTTAAGCAAGGACTTTCCGGAACAGAAGGAGGACGAACAGCACACTTCAAACAAGGACTTTCCGGAACAGAAGGAGGACGAACAGCACACTTCAAACAAGGACTTTCCGGAACAGAAGGAGGACGAACAGCACACTTCAAACAAGGACTTTCCGGAACAGAAGGAGGACGAACAGCACACTTCAAACAAGGACTTTCCGGAACAGGAGGAGGACGAACAGCACACTTCAAACAAGGACTTTCCGGAACAGAAGGAGGACGAACAGCACAACAAGGACTTTCCGGAACAGAAGGAGTAGTACTGGGAAAAAAACAAGAGGAATTTTCCAACATAAAGAAACAACCAACCAGCAAAGAAGAAAGAAAAGGAGTTAATATGTACATATATTAATAATATAATAATCATATTTCATAGGGAAAAGAAGTACCAGTGATTGCGACACATGAAGAACCAAAGCAGCGAAGTATCTCACAGCTCCTCACGCACACACCCAGGTGCTTCTCCTGCTTGTCCTTGACCGTGCAAAGACGCCACACCACACCACACCATACCACACCGCACTGCACTGCACTGCACCACACTGCACCACACTCACCCAGGTCCTTCTCCAGCTTCTCCTTGACAGTGCGCAGCCGTTCCCTCGGCTTGCTGAGCTGGGTCGATATTCGTGTTGTAGTCTTGCAGAGACAGGAGCACACGGCTAGTCACAGCACCGCACAGTATCGCACAGCAGTCCTCACTCACCCCACAGAGACAGTCCTCACTCACCCAGGTCCTTCTCGAGCCTTTCTTTGACAGTGCGCAGCCGCCCCTCCGCCTTGCTGAGCTGGGACGAGATAGCGTTGTACTCTAGCAGAGACAGAAGCACACGGCACCTCACAGCACCACAGAGTACCGCACAGTACCGCACAGTACCGCACAGTATCGCACAGCAGTCCTCACTCACCTAGGTCCTTCTCGAGCTTTTCTTTCACCGTGCGCAGCCGCCCCCTCGCCTTGCTGAGCTTGGATGAGACAGCGTTGTACTCGGAGCGGATAGTCAGCAGGTCTGCACCGGGGAGGAAGAGTCAACGGGAGAGGGATGTGAACTTGTGGAGAGCTCATAGCATTGACTTGTCTTGCTGGGCTAGGATAAGATAACCTCTCTTTGGACATAAGAACGTCCTCCTGGGTAATAAGAAAAATATCACTCTGAGCGGAATGCCCGTAGGTCTGAAGGGTGGAGGGAGGGGGTTTTGGGAAGGGGAGAGGAGAGGGGAGGTTTCAATTCAAGGTGTTGGCTTGCTTAATCAATCTGGGATGAGATAACAACAGCTACTAGGTGCCAGTAACAGGTCACGACTAGACAAACCCACCTGTTTCGTTGACGGGAAGAGAGGGCTTGGCGGTGACGAGTGAGGAGACACGCGACCACACCTGCTTCGCCTTGTCCCACAGCGATGGGGGCGAGGCAGGCGCTGATGGGGGAAGGGTAAGGAGCAAGATGGGGGAGACGAGGGGTAGAGTTGGAGTGAGAGACAAGAGACGAGGGCGGAGACACGCGACCACACCTACTTTGCCTTGTCCCACAGCGATGGGGGCGGGGCAGGCGCTGATGGGGTGAGGAAGAGGGAGGAGCAAGGTGGGGGAGAGGAGGGGTAGAGTTTGAGATTGAGAGACAAGAGACGAGGGAGGATACACGCGACCACACCTGCTTTGCCTTGTCCCACAGCGACGGGGGAGGGGCAGGCGCTGATGGGGGGAGGGCAGGGGGAGGAGGGTGGGGTGGAAGGACGGAGTTTGTGAGGGAAAGAAGAGAGGGTGGGAATGATGAGGCAGCAGCAGGAGCTGATACGGGTTGAACGAGGGTGGGGAGGGGAGTGGGGAGCAGTGGGAAGAGGGGGCGGGAGACAGTAGCGAGAGGGAGCAAGACGAGGAGGGAGGAGGGGGTGGGAGAGGGGGAGTGTGCGCTTATTCATCAGCAGCAGCATCATCATCGTCGTCGTCGTCGTCGTCGTCGTCGTCGTCGTCGTCGTCGTCGTCGTCGTCGTCGTCGTCGTCGTCGTCGTCGTCGTCGTCGTCGTCGTCGTCATCATCATCATCATCATCATCATCATCATCATCATCATCATCATCATCATCATCGTCATCATCATCATTTCATCCTCATGCTCCGTATGGGCAGCAAAGTCCGTCAGAGCCCCAATGGTACAGCGTCTGCTACATTGGTGCGACTTTTGAGAGTTCTCAAAAGTCGCACCCACGGGCAGCAAAGTCCGTTGGAGCTCCAATGGATGATGTATGCTTGCTCCTATTCTGTGGGCTGTATGCTGTGCAGGCTGTGGCACCATACCGTACCTGACTCATGCCGCCACGGATCATCGTCCTCATGCTCCGCATGGGCAGTGAAATCCTCAGCATCATCCAATGCATCATCATCATCACCATCACCATGCCCATGCCCATGGTCATTATCATCATCATCCCCACCATCATCATCATCACCATCATGGTTATCATGGATATCATGTGCCTCATGCTCCATGTCCTCATAGTCCTTATCATCATCCCCATCATCATACCCCAATCCCTCATCCGCCCCCAAATCAACCCCATCACTCCCCTCCCCCTCCCCCTCCCCCTCCCCCTCCCCCCGTCCCCCTCTCCGCCCTCCACGTCCGCGCCCCCAGGCCCGTCCTCCCCATGAGCCCATCGGGACGCGATTCTCCGCCCCAGCTCTTCCTTAGATAGCCCTGACAGGTCCTCATCACTCGCATCGCTCTCATCATCGTCCATCTCCTTGCCACTCTCATTATCCCTCTCGTGGCCACGCTCCTTGCCATCAGCAGGAGCAGCAGCATCATGACCAGCAACCAAACTCTCAAGAGCTGCTGCAGTGTCAGCAGCAGCAGCGTCAGCAGCATCGGCATCAGCACGAAGCGGCTCCCCCACCATTCCCTGCTGCACTGGATGTTCGGTAGAAGCAGGCTCGGCGGAAGCAGGCTCGGCAGCAGCGGGCTCGGCAGAGTCAGGCTCGACAGCCCCTGGTTCGGCAGCTGCAGGCTCGGTGGCAGCGGGCTCTGCAGGTTCGGTGGGCGGTGGGTGCAGCTTCTCCTCCTCTGCTTTCCTCCTAGCCTCCTCCTCTTCCTCAATCTTCCTCTGCCTTTCCTTCTCCTCCTCCTCTATCTTCTCTAAAGCATCCTTCCTCTCTGCACAGGACAAAGGGGAGAGGATAGGTGAGAAGGGTGGGAGCAACGGGAGGGGAGTTCACAAAAGTATGCTCCTCAATCTTCCTCTGCTTCTCCTTCTCCTCCTCCTCTATCTTCTCAACAGCGTCCTTCCTCTCTGCTCATGGTTGAGCACAGGGAAAAAGGGAGAAGAGTGGGAAAAAATGGGGGGGAAAAGACTGAATGCGCATAAGAATGACGTGCACTCTTCTGGATTCATCCCGTGCTCAGCAGGTTCAGCAGTTTCTCCTCTTCTGCTTTCCTCCTGGCCTCCTCCTCTTCCTTGATCTTCCTCTGCCTCTCTGGTCCGGACAAAAGCGGGGGGGTCGGGAGGGGGTGAATGGGAAAGAAGGGAGAGAAGGGGAGAGGGAGGGAATGGTGGGGTGAATGGGGAGAAGCGGGGGAGCAAACAAGGTAAATTATCTCAATGACACTTAATCCGACCAAACGGCACACATACTCACTCGCTTGCTCACTCACTCACTCGCTCGCTCACTCAGTCACTCACTCACACGCTTACACGCTCACACTCACTCACTCACTCACACGCTCAAACTCACTCACTCAACCCCCCTCAGACCCACCTTTAAGAAACTTCTCCTCCTCACGCCCACTCACCCCTTTTCTCAAACAGACTTACCTTTAAGGACCTACTCCTTCTCCTGCAGTTCCCTCTCCTCCTCCTCCAACCTTCCCTCGCTCCTCCTGCAGTTTCACCTTCTTCTCCCTCTACTCCTCCACCGCCCTCTGCCGCTGCCTAACTCCCTCCCAAACATACTTTCCATTAAAGAACCCTTCTTCTCCTCCTTTCACTTCAGTTGCATCTCATTTTCGATAGATGAAACAAAGTCTCCGTCCCGCCCCCCCCACACACACCCAAACATACCTTTGAGAATCTTCTCCTTCTCCTGTAGCTCTTTCTCCTCCACCTCCAGCCGCCCTCGCTCCTCCTGCAGTCGCACCTTCTTCTCCCTCCACTACTCCACCGCCCTCTGCCGCTGCCTCACATACACGCACACATAGGAACACACTACCACACTTAAACATACCTTTGAGAATCTTCTCCTTCTCCTGCAGTTCCCGCTCCTCCTCCTCCAGTCTCACCCTCTCCTCCTGCAGTCGCACCTTCTTCTCCCTCCACTCCTCCACCGCCCTCTGCCGCTGCCTCACGCCCTCCCTGTGCTTCGCCACGTCAGCTGCCAGCTGCTGCCGCCTCGCCGCCCCCGCCTGGGCGCACGTGTTGGGACAAGTAACCCTGCCGTCATACTCGTCACTGCCGTCACAACAATCTGGGGAGGGGTGAGGATGGGGCCCAGGGGAGGTGAGGGGAGAGGAGGGGAGAGGAGGGGAGAGGAGGGGAGGTGAGCCAGCTGCTGCCGCCTCGCCGCCCCCGCCTGGGCGCACGTGTTGGGGCAGTTAATGCGCCCGTCGTACTCGTCACTGCCGTCGCAGCAATCTGAGGGGAGAGGTGAGGGGATGGGAGGGGGCGGGTTGAGGTAGAGAGAAAGCTGCTGCCGCCTCGCCGCCCCTGCCTGGGCGCACGTGTTGGGGCAGTTAATGCGCCCGTCGTACTCGTCACTGCCGTCGCAGCAATCTGAGGGGAGAGGTGAGGGGATGGGAGGGGGCGGGTTGAGGTAGAGAGAAAGCTGCTGCCGCCTCGCCGCCCCTGCCTGGGCGCACGTGTTGGGGCAGTTAATGCGCCCGTCGTACTCGTCACTGCCGTCGCAGCAATCTGAGGGGAGAGGTGAGGGGATGGGAGAGGGCGGGTTGAGGTAGAGAGAAAGCTGCTGCCGCCTCGCCGCCCCTGCCTGGGCGCACGTGTTGGGGCAGGTGACTCCACCATCGTTCTCGTCGCTTCCGTCACAGCAATCTGGGGAGGGGTGAGAGGGGCCAGGGTAAGGCAGGGGGGGAGAGGGGGGTGAGCCAGCTGCTGCCGCCTCGCCGTCCCCGCCTGGGCGCACGTGTTCGGGCAGGTGACACGCCCATCATACTCGTCGCTTCCGTCACAGCAGTCTGTAGGAAGATAGAGAGAGGGTGGGTGGGGCAAGGGCAATAAAGAGGTGGCGTACAAGCTGACCCTGACTGGGCGCACGTGTTGGGACAGGTAATGCGCCCGTCATACTCGTCACTGCCATCGCAACAGTCTGGGGAGAGAGAACAAGGGAGGGGAGGGGGGAGTGAGACGTCAGCTGCCAGCTGCTGCCGCCTTGCCGCCCCCGCCTGCGCGCACGTGTTCGGGCAGGTGACACGCCCATCATACTCGTCACTGCCGTCGCAACAACCTGGAGAGGAAATGGACCGCGTTTGCAACAGAAGAAGGAAGCATTGGAGCATGCGGAGGTGCCGAGCTCGTCTGTGCCGACAGGGCAGTCGCAGAAGTCTCAACCCATACCATGTACCGTGTATGCACGTACCATATTCAAGTGGGCAGCAACGTACCGCATATCCCGTCGTTGACTCGCGAGGAGAACAGAACAAGAGGGTTGTGCCCTCGGTTGCGGCAGAAGAAGGAGGAGTTGGGGCATGCGGAGGTGCCAGGCTCGTCCGTGCCGTCTGGGCAGTCACAGAAATCGTCGTTGACTCGCGAGATGTGCAACTTCCTGGAACCATCCCGGCATGAAAACACCTCTCCCGAGAATAGCGCCTTATCTGCAGCCAATCACGCCCCAGTCCCGCTCACCGACCCACCCTCATTCCCCATCCCCCATACCCATCCATCCAACCCACATATCCACCCAGATATCAATCCATCTCCCATCCCACCACTCACCAACTACCCTCACAAAGACTCCCTTCCCCAGCCCCCCTCCCCACTCTCCTCTTCCGTCATCACACACACCACACACGCATGAACAAATTAAAGGACAGAGCGGGCAAAAAAAAGATGAGAAAAGACCATCGACTGGACAAAAGACAAGCTGGCGAAGACAGGTGGCACAAACCCGTCCAGCTGGTGATCCCCTATAGGCCGTCCAGATTTGCGCGAGTGAACGTCCCACGGCTGGATAATCCGTTCCGAAAGGCGTATGCTTTGAAAGTGCATGAATTTCAACTGTGCACGATCCGATCGGCGGGAGATGTATTCTAGCTTGCGATAAGGTGACGAGTATCGACAGGTACCAAGAGCACCTTGAGGGGGGACGCCACGAAGAGGTTTGACGCTGGCGAAAACCCCCGTCGCTACGCTGACCACGACAATCAGAAGTAGCGAAACTCGCACATGTGAAGCCATTTTCGCGCTCCTGATGGTAACCCGCGAATGGCAATGTTCCGGATACAGTGGCCTAATCGCGAGAATGATCCTCTAGTACATATGCGAAGAACGCTAAAGCAGCGTGATCGGCGGCAGAAATATTTAGGGGCTAAGCCACCTTAGCATACTGGCGATCAGCTACGAATCTGACGGTTAGCACAGTTGCATAACTGATCCTTGCAATATGCATATTGCAAGCCAATGGAAACGGGGGGAGTGCGTATACATTAGGGAAGAAAGACGAAGAATCCTTTCGTATCGACTTGCATTTCACCTCGGTTTCTTTAACGGCGTCAATTGTAATTCCCTCATTGGTCCAACCAGTCCGATTTCGAGAAGAATGACGTCATGCTACTACAACCTTCAAGCAGCACACTACAAAAATTCGAAATCAGAACCCTTGGAACACAACAGAAAGACTGCCTTTCGAAGTCGCTTTGGCTTCCCTGGTTCGGTGTTCACTGGGCCTTCCAGCTTGGTTTGTGGCCAGGTGGATCTTGGGAACATCGCATTCTTCTGATTGGCCCATCCGAATTTGGAACGCAGCTGGCGACCAGAAATTTCTGGAGAGTGGTTGAGGATTTACACTTCATTGGCTGCTGCACTTACATCAAGGTTGACGTGAACACTAACCAGAATAATTCTTCGAGCTCGATACAGTTATCAAACAAATTCCTTGTAGGCAGTCGGTAAATGTATGTTGGTCTTCTGTCAAAAGAGGTTTGTCACTGCGGGGGACGCTCAACCCCAAAAATTGCCGTTAGACAAGGTGAGCTTGACACTTTCCTCACATCATTCTAGTAGCGAATAACGGCAGCCATGGCTGCATCCTCGTCGCAGCTAGCGGTCTGCAGATCGTTGACCTGTCCCCAAGCGATGAATCTTCATTCTGGTAATTCCATTATCGCAGTTTCCTCCTCACGGAGCACCTGTCCTGGGCCACCATTCCCTACTCAAAGCACCTGGCATTCTGGCTGAAAGCTGGTTAGAACTAGCCTGAATTTTGGCGTTTCTATCTCCGTTTTCTCATTCAAATCCAAATTGGGCAATCAAAATTCTTGACTGTTACTGTTACTGAGGCATCGTGAAGCTTTTCCTAATTGAACATTAGTTCATCAACGATTCTGCATCAGCATTTTCTCCGCCTCCCTTTCCTTCTCCACTCCATTCACAGTTTTTTACCGCAAGTTGCATAATAATACTATCAATAAGAAAAAAAAACAAGGTACAAAGATAAATATTTTCTCCCATCGCTCCTCCTTCCCGGCTAGCAGAACTACTCCCGTGGCGGAAACCGTCGTCGTTTCTGCTCTCCGTATCCCACTCCAATGTCTCGCGCAAGCAGCCTTCCGCATTCCGCGGAGCTCGCCTCCGCGCAATCAAGGGGTCCAAGGAAGGGGAGAAGGGGAAGCAAGGACCGTTAGTGCGGAAAGTAGAGGCGGAGGAGGAGGAAGAGGAGGAGGAGGAGGAGGAGGAGGACTGGGAAGGAGAGGAAGAGTGGGAAGATGAACTGGTCGATTTAGAAGAACAACAAGAGGAGGGTTTAGAGGGGGGAGAGCAGGAAGGGGAGGAGGACGAGGAGGAGGAGGACGAGGCTGTTGTACAGATGGCAGCAGCGGATTGGGAGAGAGCAGCGATGGCGGTGGTGGTGGAGGCGATAGAGAAGCAGGACGAGAGCAGGCGCAAGGGATGGCGGCGGCGGCGGGAGGTCATGGAGGAGGTGAGCTCGAGACTTTGTCTGGTGGGACGCAAGGGTTTATCGAGGTTTATGGTGCTCAAGGTTTATGAGGCGCCTCAAAGGGTGGTGGTGGAGGCGATAGAGAAGCAGGGCGAGAGCAGGCGCAAGGGCTGGCGGCGGAAACGAGAAGTCTCGGAGGAGGTGAGCTTAAAGCATTAATCTGGCGAAACTCGAGGGTTCGGGGGTGTGTTATGGGTTACTGGTTCATCAAGGTTCAGGGTTTATCAGGGTTTATGAGTTGCCTCAAAACGTGGTGAATGCGATGGAGAATCAGGAGATGGACGAGAGCAGGCGCAAAGGCTGGCGGCGACGATGGGAGGTCACAGAGGAGGTGAGTTAGGAGCCTAGGAACGTTAGTTAGATCTGGCAAGACGCGAGGGCTTAGCAAGGTTTCGGGTTTATCAAGGTTTTGGAGTTATGAGGCGACTCAAAACGTGGTGGAGGCGATAGAGAAGCAGGAAAGGGAACCAGCAGTCGCAACGAGGTGACTTTTGAGTCGACTTGAAAGGCGCCTGAAAACGTGATGGTGAAGGCGATAGAGAAGCAGGAAAGGGAACGAGAGAAAGTCGCCTTGGCTGCCTGAAATGGCCATAGCAGCATAGTGGGGCAAGGGCAAACCAACACAGATTGCATGACATTGCATGGCATAATGTGCAGTGGCATGGCATTGGGTTCGCATACATCTCAAAACAACGCATGGGGCCATGGCTGGCATGGCTGGCAGGTACAGGAGCATCTGCTGCCGCGAGTGGCCATAGTGGGGCGACCCAACGGAGCTTGCATGGCATCATGGGATAATTGATGCATGGAATATAACGCCCCTTTTCCGTTACTCCACCGGTGATGGCATGGGGGCATGGCTGGCAGGTACCGGAGCATCTGCTGCCACGAGTGGCCATAGTGGGGCGACCCAACGTGGGCAAGTCAGCCCTTTTCAACCGCCTCGTGGGGGTAAGTGCAATCAGGCGTCTCTTGACGTTACGAGGAGCCTCTTGAGGCGCCACTTTGAGGCGCTTCAAAGGTGCCTCGGGTGGCCATAGTGGGGCGACCCAACGTGGGCAAGTCCGCTCTCTTCAACCGCCTTGTCGGGGTGAGTGGTGGAGTGGGGTGGGGTGGGGTGGGGTGGGGTGGGGTGGGGTGGGGTGGGGTGATCTACCCATTAGGTGATTGAAAGAGAACCGCTACATTGCCATAGTGCACAACAACACATGCCAAAGCCTTGAATGAGGCTGTTCGTTCTCTTCCCATCCCTCCTTCCCTCTCTCCCACCCTCCCTTTCCCCCCCCAGCGCAACATAGCCATAGTGCATGACGAGCCGGGGGTGACGAGGGACAGGCTGTACGCGCGTGCTCTCTGGGAGGGCCGCCAGTTCCTTCTCACCGACACCGGAGGCCTCATGGACGCCCCCAACGCCAACGCTGCTGCTGCTGCTGCTGCTGCTGCTGCTGCTGCTGCTGGTCCCGCTGCTACCAGTGGCGGTAGTGGCTCTGCTAGTGGTGGTGCTTCTGCTGTGGCTGCTGATGGCGGTGATGCTGCTGAGGGTGCGGGTGTGAAGAGGGGCAAGGGCGGTAGAGGGGGGAGGGCTGGGAGGGGATCTGCTTCATCCACAGCATTGTTGGCACTCGCCAAGGCTGATGGCGTCGCTGTCATCGGTGAGTGGTGGTATGGTATGCAGCCTAGTCACATGAGGATGAGTAGGTAGGCAAGGGCGGGAGAGGGACGGGAGGGCTGGGAGGGGATCTGCTTCGTCCACAGCCCTGCTCGCACTGGCCAAGGCGGATGGCGTTGCTGTCATCGGTGAGTGAGTGGTATGGTATGCAGCCTAGTCACATGAGGATGAGTAGGTAGGCAAGGGCGGGAGAGGGACGGGAGGGCTGGGAGGGGATCTGCTTCGTCCACTGCCCTGCTCGCACTACCCAAGGCGGATGGCGTCGCTGTCATCGGTGAGTGGGTGGGTGATAGGACCGGTGAGTGGATGTAACGGCTCAGCACATGGGTGAAGTGAATCCATTGAAGATTGGCAGAGGGGGGAGGGCAGGGCAAGGATTTGCTTTGTCCGCAGCCTTGTACGCTACGCATTGAAGATTTGCTGGCGTAGCCTTGTACGCTACGCATTGAAGATTTGCTGGCGTAGCCTTGTACGCTACGCATTGAAGATTTGCTGGCGTAGCCTTGTACGCTACGCATTGAAGATTTGCTGGCGTAGCCTTGTATGCTACGCATTGAAGATTTGCTGGCGTAGCCTTGTACGCTACGCATTGAAGATTTGCTGGCGTAGCCTTGTACGCTACGCATTGAAGATTTGCTGGCGTAGCCTTGTACGCTACGCATTGAAGATTTGCTGGCGTAGCCTTGTACGCTACGCATTGAAGATTTGCTGGCGTAGCCTTGTACGCTACGCATTGAAGATTTGCTGGCGTAGCCTTGTACGCTACGCATTGAAGATTTGCTGGCGTAGCCTTGTACGCTACGCATTGAAGATTTGCTGGCGTAGCCTTGTACGCTACGCATTGAAGATTTGCTGGCGTAGCCTTGTACGCTACGCATTGAAGATTTGCTGGCGTAGCCTTGTACGCTACGCATTGAAGATTTGCTGGCGTAGCCTTGTACGCTACGCATTGAAGATTCGCTGGCGTAGCCTTGTACGCTACGCATTGAAGATTTGCTGGCGTAGCCTTGTACGCTACGCACTCGCCAAGACGTTTTCTCTAGCACTGCTGCTCTCCCGAACCATGAGTGACGACGACCCATGAGTGACGACGACCCATGAGTGACGACGACCCATGAGTGACGACAACCCATGAGTGACGACGACCCATGAGTGACGACGACCCATGAGTGACGACGACCCATGAGTGACGACAACCCATGAGTGACGACGACCCATGAGTGACGACGACCCATGAGTGACGACGACCCATGAGTGACGACAACCCATGAGTGACGACGACCCATGAGTGACGACGACCCATGAGTGACGACGACCCATGAGTGACGACGACCCATGAGTGACGACGACCCATGAGTGACGACGACCCATGAGTGACGACGACCCATGAGTGACGACGACCCATGAGTGACGACGACCCATGAGTGACGACGACCCATGAGTGACGACGACCCATGAGTGACGACGACCCATGAGTGACGACGACCCATGAGTGACGACGACCCATGAGTGACGACGACCCATGAGTGACGACAACCCATGAGTGACGACAACCCGAGGGCAGGGCAAGAATTTGCTTTGTCCGCAAACGCACGCACGCAAGAATTTGGCGAGTGCGTAGCCTTGTACGCAACGCACTCGCCAAGGCTGACTTTTGAGGCGCCTCAAAAGCCTTGTACGCACTCGCCAAGGCTGACTTTTGAGGCGCCTCAAAAGCCTTGTACGCAACGCACTCGCCAAGGCTGACTTTTGAGGCGCCTCAAAAGCCTTGTACGCAACGCACTCGCCAAGGCTGACGGCGTCGCTGTCATCGGTGAGTGGACGTGGCTGTTCATCCCGCTAACTCGGACCGTCAATTCAAGTGTTGATACGTCTGAAAATTCGTCCCCTTAAGACGGACTCCCATAAAGTTCACTTGTCAGGGCAGACTAATAAGAAAGGAGTGACTTTTGTTTTCCTTAATCACTTCTTCTACCCCCTCCTGTAGTTGCTTCATTCCCCTCCGTAATTAAGGCTTTGACTATTACCTGTGTACACCTATCATTGCGACTTTTGAGGCGTCTCATAAGGCATGGCTATTGTTACCTATGTACACCTATCGTTGCGTGCGACCTGTGCAGGTGGCGGCGGGCGATTGGCCAACGAGCGGGCGGCGAAGGAGGCTGAGGTGGCGGGTTTGCCGGAGCTGATTGGCCGACAGGCTGCTGCTGCCGTTGAGGAGGCTGATGCGATCATCATGGTGGTCGATGGGCAGGTGGGTGGATGGGCAGGTGGGTGGATGGGCAGGTGGGTGGATGGGCAGGTGGGTGGGTGGGCAGGTGGGAGGGTGGATGGGCAGGTGGGTGGGTCGATGGGCAGGTGGGTGGATGGGCAGGTGGGTGGGTGGATGGGCAGGTGGGTGGGTCGATGGGCAGGTGGGTGGATGGGCAGGTGGGTGGGTCGATGGGCAGGTGGGTGGGTGGATGGGCAGGTGGGTGGATGGGCAGGTGGGTGGGTGGATGGGCAGGTGGGTGGGTCGATGGGCAGGTGGGTGGGTGGATGGGCAGGTGGGTGGATGGGCAGGTGGGTGGGTGGATGGGCAGGTGGGTGGATGGGCAGGTGGGTGGGTGGATGGGCAGGTGAGTTGAGAAGAGAAAACATCATGGCTTCGCTCTCGGGCGTAAAGGTGATGCTGCTGCCGTGCCGTGGTGGAGGCTGACGCGATCGTTATGGCGGTCGATGGGCAGGTGGGTGGATGGATGGGCAGGTGAGTGGATGGATGGATGGGCAGGTGAGCGTGAGGGGAGGGACCTCGGGAATATGATATGAATATGGGACCCCTTGCTCTCCCTATTCCAGATTGTGGGTAATGCGACGACTTTTGAGGCGCCTCAAAAATGGTCCAGAGAGTTGATGAAGCATTTGTATCCCTCCACTCCACCCGTATCTCCTCCCCCTTCTTCTCCCTATTCCAAACCCTGCTAGGCTGGTGCAACAGCTGCTGACGTGGAGATTGCTCAGTGGCTGCGGCGGCGCCACGTGGCAAGCAGCAAGCCAGTGTTTCTGGCAGTGAACAAGTGCGAGTCGCCCACCAAGGGACTCCTGCAGACAGCCGAGTTCTGGTCGCTGGGGTGAGTGAGTGAGACTCTTAAGAGGAGGGGTAAAGGGAAAGGGGAGTGTGTCTTCCTGGCAGTGAACAAGTGCGAGTCGCCCACCAAGGGCCTCCTGCAGACAGCAGAGTTTTGGTCGCTGGGGTGAGTGAGAGGACGGGGTGGGGGTGGGAGGTGTAGTGCCCGCATGCCACTCCACATATGAGGTGCAGCGAGCTGGCCTTTGTTGCATGCACCAAAGGGCGACAACAAGTGGTGGCAGCAGTCAACAAGTGCGAGCCACCCACCAAAGGGCTCCTGCAAACTGCTGAGTTCTGGTCGCTGGGGTGAGTGGAAGAAGGGTGGTGGGATGACTAGAAGGTGCGGGGGGGTGCAGAGGAATCTTTCTGTGCACATGCTATTTCCGTCTGTTCGAATCCCCCCACCCTCATCCCCCTCCCCTACCCACAATGCCCCATCCATCAGCCTGACCCCCATGGCAGTGTCAGCCCTCTCAGGCACCGGCACAGGTGACCTGCTGTACATCTCAAGCTTGCATTCATCTCACATGCGTCCATCCCCTCGTCACATCTCTCTTGCCCCTCCCATCCTCCATTCCACTCCCCATGCCCCACACATCCAGCCTGACCCCCATGGCAGTGTCAGCCCTCTCAGGCACGGGCATGGGCGACCTGTTAGATGAGCTGCTTAGTATTTGCGCGCACACACACTCCCCCCTTGCCCCGTCACCTCCCCTCCTGCTTCCCCATCAACCCCGCCCCAGCCTGACCCCCATGGCAGTGTCAGCCCTCTCAGGCACGGGCACAGGCGACCTGCTGGATGAGCTGCTCAAGGCGCTGCCGTCGCAGGAGGTGAGGAAATGAGGAAGTGAGGAGTGAGGCGTTGTTGGTGATTGCAACACATTGGTTTGCGGAGAGGAGAGCACGTCTGTGTGCGCTCAGCACGGCACGGGCACAGGCGACCTGCTGGATGAGCTACTCAAGGCGCTGTCGTCCGCTGAGGTGAGGGGAGGAGGAGGGGGGCGTGCATGGGGGCGTGTGTGCAGTGCATGTGGCACGGGTACAGGCATGAGGGGAGGAGGAGGGGGGCGTGTGTGGATGTGTTGTGGTCTGGGCACGGGCACGGGTGAACTGCCGGATGAGCTGCTGAAGGCGCTGCCATGCCTCGAGGTGAGGGAATGAGGGGTTGGGGTGGGGGGGAATGGGTAAAGTTGATATATTTGAAGGTGGGGAGAGGTGCGGATGTTGGTGGTGCAGCATTCACTCCAAAAGCGCTCTCAGGCGTTCTCTTGCTTAACCTCCTACCATGCTTTACGATTCTTTACCTTGCTCCAACTCCCCATGCCTCTTTTCTCCTCGACTCTCCTCCCATCTCCTCCCATCTCCTCTCATCTCCTCCCATCTCCTCCCATCTCCTCTCATCTCCTCCCATCTCCTCTCTTCTCTCATCTCCTGTCTTCTCCTGTCTTCTCCTGTCTTCTCCTCTCATCTCCTCTCAAATCCTCTCATCTCCTCTCATCTCCTCTCATCTCCTGTCTTCTCCTCTCTTGTCCCCTCTTGCTCTGCAGGAACCCGAATCGTCCGCTGCCCTCTCCACCATCACCGACAGCAACGATGCCGTTGCCACACAGGTCGGTGGGATGCTTGCTCGCTCGCCTGCTTGGTAGCCACGTGTAGAAAGTGTATTTTCGAGACGTCTCAAAAAGTTGCCACACAGGTCGGTGGGATGCTTGCTCGCTCGCCTGCTTGGTAGCCACGTGTAGAAAGTGTATTTTCGAGACGTCTCAAAAAGTTGCCTCACAGGTCGGTGGGATGCTTGCTCGCTCGCCTGCTTGGTAGCCACGTGTAGAAAGTGTATTTTCGAGACGTCTCAAAAAGTTGCCTCACAGGTCGGTGGGATGCTTGCTCGCTCGCCTGCTTGGTAGCCACGTGTAGAAAGTGTATTTTCGAGACGTCTCAAAAAGTTGCCACACAGGTCGGTGGGATGCTTGCTCGCTCGCCTGCTTGGTAGCCACGTGTAGAAAGTGTATTTTCGAGACGTCTCAAAAAGTTGCCTCACAGGTCGGTGGGATGCTTGCTTGCTCGCCTGCTTGGCAGCTGGGTCACACTTGATTGAGTTGCTGCGTCCACCTCACTCACCCCCACCTCACTCACCCCCACCTCACTCACCCCCACCTCACTCACCCCCACCTCACTCTAGCCATAGTGGGGTGCCCGAACGTGGCAGCATAGTGAACGCGCGGGCGCTACCGGGGAATCTGAGGACGACCATGTTCAGCATTGAGGTGGTTTTTGAGGCACCTTAAAAACCACCTCAGCATTGAGGTTTTTGAGGCGCCTTAAAAACCACCTCAGCATTGAGGTTTTTGAGGCGCCTTAAAAACCACCTCAGGATCGTGAACGCGCGCGCGCTACTGGGGAATCTGAGGACGACCGTGTTCAGCATTGAGGTGGTTTTTGAGGCGTGCGCCTTAAAAACCACCTCAGCATCGTGAACGCGTGCGCGCTACTGGGGAATCTGAGGACGACCGTGTCCGGCAGCTTGCCTTGCCTCCTCGTGTACCACCATTCCCACCATCCGCACCATCCCCCACCAGCTCGGTCGAGTGTCTCTAGCAATCGTGGGAGACCCGACGTGGGCAAGGGGCACTTCTGGGGGAGGAGAGGGCAATCCCACGTCGGGCCTCTCGTCTCGTTGTCAGAAGTGGCCTCTGCCTTCTCGTTGACAATCGTGTTAAACAGCCAGTGGCCAGACCAGACTTCCTGTGTTCCGTTTCTCCCTCTGCCCCCACACCACACCACACCCCCCCAACCCAGCTCGGCCGAGTGTCATTGGCAATCGTGGGAAGGCCCAACGTGGGCAAGAGCAGCATAGTGAACGCACTGCTGGGGGAGGAGAGGACCATCGTGAGCCCCGTCAGCGGCACCACCAGAGACGCCATCGACACCAAATTCACGGGGCCAGACGGACAGGTGTGTGTGTTTGTGTTGGTGGTTACCATGAAGGTCAGGTATGTCTGTGTGTGGGTATACCACTGTGGCACTGTCACATCCCATGCACCATCGTGAGCCCTGTCAGCGGCACCACCAGAGACGCCATCAATACCAAGTTTACAGGCCCAGACGGACAGGTGTGTTGGTGTTTGTGCGTATGTGGTGTGTATGTGTGCCCCAAGATCTGGTGAAAGAGAGTGCACTCGCACACCCCGTCAACCATCGTGAGCCCTGTCAGCGGCACCACCAGAGACGCCATCGACACCAAATTCACCGGGCCAGATGGGCAGGTACGTGTGTGCATGTTTGTGTCTCTGTTGATGTGAGCCTATACCCCCAAGCTCTGTTGACAGGGTATACTTCAACCTTCCCACCACTGTCAGCCCTGTCAGCGGCACCACCAGAGACGCCATCGACTCTAAATTCACCGGGCCAGATGGGCAGGTGTGTTGCTGCATGCATGTGTGTGTGTGTCTTCCCAGGCTGATAATTAGTATACTCATCCACTTACCATCGTGAGCCCTGTCTGTCAGCGGCGCCACCAGAGACGCCATCGACTCTAAATTCACCGGGCCAGATGGGCAGGTGTGTTGCTGCATGCATGTGTGTGTGTGTGTCTTCCCAGGCTGATAATTAGTATACTCATCCACTTACCATCGTGAGCCCTGTCTGTCAGCGGCGCCACCCGCGATGCCATCGACTCAAGTCCACCCGACCAGACAGACACCATGTTAATGGCTACTTTCTCATACCATCGTGAGCCCTGTCAGCGGCACCACTAGAGACGCCCTGTCAGCAGGACAGAGAGTCCTTCCCTCCCTCACTCACTGAATCCCTCTCCTCTCCCCTAACGCATTCCCTCTCACTGCTCTCCCTCACTGTTGTTCAGGAGTACACTCTGATTGACACAGCAGGAGTGCGCAGGAAAGCGGCGGTGGCAGCAGGTAGCAGGTAGCAGGGCAGAGGGTCGATCTCCGCACCTCCATCTTCTCTCCTTTCCACAATCCCAACTGCCAATCCCCATTCAGGAGTACACATTGATCGACACGGCAGGGGTGCGCAGGAAAGCGGCGGTGGCAGCAGGTAGCAGGGCGGAGGGTCTGTCGGTGAATCGCGCGCTGAGGGCAATACGGAGGGCGGACGTGGTGGGGCTTGTTGTTGACGCCATGCTGTGCGTCACAGAGCAGGTGGGTTTGACCTGTCAGGTGTGAGTGTAGGTGCGTGTGACTGTAATGGGGGGTGCTTGTGCCCCTAGGGCAGCAGGCAGCAGGCAGCAGGCAGCAGGCAGCAGGCAGCAGGCAGCAGGCAGCAGGCAGCAGGCAGCAGGCAGCAAGCAGCAGGCAGCGGGGGGGGAGAGAGGGTCTATTGGTGAATCGGGCGCTGAGGGCCATCAGGCGGGCAGACGTGGTGGGGTGCCATGCTGTGCGTCACAGAGCAGGTGCGTGTGACACAGAGAAGGTGGGTGTTGCAGTCAGCATCCCCCTATGACAGGAACACTGAGGGCCATCAGGCGGGCAGACGTGGTGGGGCTTGTTGTTGATGCCATGCTGTGCGTCACAGAGCAGGTGCGTTTGACCTGTAAGGCGTGACTGTAGGATGCATGTGACTGTATGAGGGTTTCTTGAGCCCCTAGACACCACACAGGAGACTTTTGAGTCGACTCAAAAGTCACCTGGTTGCTTGTGCCCCTAGACACCGCACAGGACCCACCAGCACCATCACCTGCCCACCCCGGCCCTTGCTCTCCTCTCCCTTCCCTCTCACAGGATCTTAGACTGGCGGAGCAGATAGAGAGGGAGGGCAAGGCGTGTGTGGTGATTGTGAACAAGTGGGATACCGTGCCTGACAAGGACGCCACCAGCACAGTGAGCTACACAGAGGATGTGCGGGGGAAGCTGCGCTCCATGCCCTGGGCTCCGCTAGTCTTTACCTCGGCAACGACAGGGCAGAGAGTGGCCAAGTGAGTGCCTGTTGGGTGGGATTGTGGGTCCCAGTGTCTGTGGGTGCCTGTGTGTGTGAATTACACAACTAACGAATCCACCAGCACAGTGAGCTACACGGAGGATGTGCGGGGCAAGCTGCGCTCCATGCCCTGGGCTCCTGTCGTGTTCACCTCTACCACCACGGGGCAGAGAATGGCCAAGTGAGTGTGGGTGTGATTGTGAGTGTGAGCAATGTGTTTGAGATTGTACCAGCCAAAGACGTCACCAGCACAGTGAGCTACACGGAGGATGTGCGGGGCAAGCTGCGCTCCATGCCCTGGGCTCCACTGGTGTTCACCTCTACCACCACAGGCCAAAGGTTTGCCAAGTGAGTGCCTGTGTGGGGATGTGTGTGTGTATCTGTGGGGGAACAAGTAGGGCAGAGTGTGAGCAGAGATGTCAACAGCACAGCAAGCTACACAGAAGATGTGCGGGGGAAGCTGCGCTCCATGCCTTGGGCTCCACTAGTCTTCACTTCTGCCACCACAGGGCAGAGAGTGGCCAAGTGAGTGTGGGTGTGTGAGGGGAACAAGTGCCTTCGAGTGTGGGAGATGCTGCACTACATGCCCTGGGTTATTTTGGAATCACTTCTGAGAATTCTTAGAAGTGCTCCATGCCCTGCGCTCCGCTGGTCTTTACTTCAGCCACCATAGGGCAAAGAGTGGGCTAGTGAGTGTGGGTGTGAAGTGTGATTGAGTATAGCAAGGTAAGGCACCACCAGGACTGTCGCCAGCTACTCCTGTGGGCACGCCCTCACGCGCACACACACACGCACGCACGCACGCACGCATGCGCGTACACATACAGACTTACATGCAATCTCTTTTTCTGTTCCTCTTCTTTTGCTTCTGCTTTGCTCAGGATTTTGGAAGCTGCCCGTTTTGCTGCCCAGCAACGTTCTAAACGCCTCACAACAGCCACACTGAACCAGGTGGTCGGGGAGGCTGTTTCTTTTCAGCCGCTGCCCGGAGGCGGAAAGGGTAACAAGCGAGGAAAAATATACTACAGCACCCAGGCGGCTACTAACCCGCCGACCTTTGTGATTTTCGTTAACGACGCGAAACTTTTCGGGCAGCAGTATCGGCGATACATGGAAAATCAGCTTCGGGAGAATATCGACTTTGAAGGCACGCCTATCCGGCTGCTCTGGCGAAGCAAGCGCCGAACCAAACCAGTAGGTTCGGAAGGGGAAGCGACAGGACGGGCCGGAGGGGGAGCAGGAGGGACAGGCGGAGAACAAGGGAAGAGGATGGATAGAGGGAGGGGAGGAGGAAGAGGAGGGAGGGGAGGGAGAGGGAGAGGAGGGAGTGGGAGGGGAGGAGCCTCATCTAGAGGAAGAAAAGAGGGAAGTGTGAAGCTGGGTCAGAGATAGGTGGGAAAGCGTTGCTGGTTGGGAGAAGGATCATCGCTGTGGGGGCAAGTGTAACTCTCTATCTTCTCTACTGTTTTGCTACACATTTACCACCTACCATATGTATTAAGGTTGATAAACTGCTGGTAATAAGAGAAGGTGACCACATTATTCAGCTGATACTGTACTAGTAGAGATACTACCATGCATGTGAGAAGCAGCAGAAGAAGAAATAGGAAGATGAAGGGTGGCGCAACCACAGCTGGGATAAACTGTAGCAGGGTTTGGTGAGTCATCTGTTGACTTTGGTAGACCTGAGCCGACCACCACAGTTGGCCTCTGTTGAATTTCGTTGACTCTGGCATGCCTTATTTGTGCTTTCCAGCTCTGAGGTGGCTGCTGCCCGTTGTCCTCGTTACAGGACAACTCTAGACAATACATGTTGAACTCTGGATGTCTCCTATAGGCACTATGAAGAACCAGGCATGGATTTGGGCTGTGTAGTATTTGATGCACATTCCTCAAATAAAGCGTCACGCCTCTGCAAGGAATTTGGGAGATGGGAAGTGCGAAAGGAGAAATTAGTCTAGAGGAGGTGGGTAGGAGGGAGGTGAGAATAAATGCTAGGGTGTTGGGTGTGCTAGGGTGCAGCTAGAATGCTATTGAATTGGGGGGGAGGGGGGGAGGACTTACAGTTGACGCAGCGCAGGGAACGAGCTACCTCCTTCTTATTGATGCGGAACATGCTGATGGTTTGAGAGAGGCAAGTGGGGAGGGGAGAGGGGAAGAAGTGCAAGGAGGGTTGAAAAAGGGTGGGCGGGGGAGGGTGGGGGTAGGGAGCGACCTCCTTCTTCTTGATTCGGAACATGCTGATGGTTCGAGAGAGGCGATGGGGGAGGGGAGATGGGAAGAAGTGCAGGGAGGGTTGAAAAAGGGTGGGCGGGGGAGGGTGGGGGTAGGGAGCGACCTCCTTCTTCTTGATTCGGAACATGCTGATGGTTCGAGAGAGGCGATGGGGGAGGGGAGATGGGAAGAAGTGCAAGGAGGGTTGAAAAAGGGTGGGCGGGGGAGGGTGGGGGTAGGGAGCGAGCAACCTCCTCCTCCTTGATTTGGAGCATGCTGATGGGTTGAGAGAGGCAAGGGAAAGAGGAGAACAGGAGGAGGGGGGAACAGGTGAGAGGAGTTTTTTTGGCAAAACACTGCTGGTCTAGGGGGGAAAGAGAGTGGGAATGGGGGAAGGGGAAGGGGAAAAAGGGGAGGGGGAAGGGGGAAGGGGGGGAAGTGGAAGGGGGAAGGGGGGTATGGGAAAGGGGAAGGGGGGAGGGGGAATGGGGGGGGGGGGGGGGGGGGGGGGGAAAGAGGGGGGGGGGGAAGGGGAAGGGGGAAAGGGGGAAAGGGGGGGGGGGGGGGGAAGGGAAGGGGGGGGGGGGAGGGGAGGGGGGGGGGAAGGGGGAGGGAGGGGGGGAGGGAAGGGGGGGGGGGGAGGAAAGCATAGCGCATTCAGATACAGCGACGGAGCGTGGAAGGGGGGATGGAATGGGGGTGTATACGACGAAACTGACCCGAAAAACTTGCTCATGGCCTTGCGGGCAGCCTTTTGCGGGTTGAACTCAAATTTATCCAGCGGGTTACCCTGGCACCCCTTTTGCGGCTGCGCCACAATTTTCTTGCACCCCTTCGCAACTTCCTCCGTCTTCCCGTCCGCCGTCACCGTACTGCACCACGACACCTGCACAAAATTTGCCGAACGTGCGAACTGGTCCGGAATGTTGACGCAGTTAGTCCCTTTGCTCAACCGAACCACCAGCTGCGGCACGTTCGTGTTCGGATCGCCGAGAACCAAAGTCGTCGTAGCTTCGTTTCTTCCGCTCGCTCCCAAATTTTCGTCTGATCGACGGTTTTCACATTTAGGGTAAATCCCAACCCACGCAGCTCCGCCCGCGCCGACACGTCTAAGCTCCTCGAGTAAACGTCGCCGAGTTGTACCGAGGCGCCCGCATTCGCCCCAGCTTTCACGCCTTGGCGGCTAATCTCGGCCGCCGACGTGGCCGTACCTCCGGCTCCGATACCCGCCACATTTGCGCCAAATCCAAACCCGGCTTCCGCGTTAATTTTGTCGCGGCTAACCTTAGCCGCCGATTCGATATTAGTTCCGGCGCCCCCGACGTTCTTCACATTCCCGCCAATCCCAAACCCGGCTTTCGCGTTCACTTCTTTCTTGCTGAACCCGCCGGCAGCGCCGATATTCACATTTGCTCCCACGCCTGCCACGTCAGCAGTCGCGCCAACCGAAGCGTCCGCGTTGACCCCGGATTTCGTCACACCGGCGCTACCCTTCGCCTTCGCCTCTCCCGTCCCAACGCCGTTAAACAAGTTCGCGTTTGCTGATCCGTCGGCGTTCACGGTTACTCCCTCACGGTTGAATTTCGCGGAGCCAATTGCATCCCCAGAAACGTCCGTCTTAAGCAGATCAGAGCTGACACTGGCACTGCCGGCTGGATTAATCTCCACCTCATTGTTGCGGCCCGTCACTTTGAGCCCCCCAGCGGCGCTAACGTCGGCTACTGGGCCGACATTCGCGCCAAAGGGAACGACAATCGCCGCGGATTTTTCGACAATCTTCATGTCGTTGGTTTTGGTGGGGACAGATTCAACGCTGGGTGTATCGGTATATCCGCTATTGGTATATCCGTTGTTGTCATTTGCAATCGGCGCCACGGTGTTGTCGGTCTGAGCACCGGCGGAATTCAGCTGCTGCTGATTGCCGCCGGAATTCTGCTGCTGCTGCTGGTTGCCGCCGTAAGTCAGTTGCTGCTGATCGCCGCCGGAATTCAGCTGCTGCTGATCGCCGCTGGGATTCAGCTGGGTGCCGTCGGAAGTCAGCTGGGTGCCGTCGGAGTTCAGCTGGGTGCCGTCGGAATTCAGCCCGGTGCCGTCGGAATTCGGCTGGGTGCCGTCGGAATTTAGCTGGGTGCCGTCGGAATTTAGCTGGGTGCCGTCGGAATTTAGCTGGGTGCCGTCGGAATTTAGCTGGGTGCCGTCAGTCGGTTGGGTGCCGTCGCCGTAGCCAAACGCTCTTGCTGACTGCCAGGAAGACGCTGCATGGTAAATTCGGTAAAAGGTTGGAGCAAATCAGGCACGTTGGTATCCATTTCTCGGTGGGGATTGTGCGTAGCAACCAGTTGAAAACTTGTCACACGACTCGCGAAAAATTGTAGAAGCTGACTAGGGCAATCTCAAGAAAGGCGATCGTCAACACGGCTGTTGTGCGTGCGAACGACACGTTCGTCAGAGTAGTCAGAAACGTCACGTGCGTCGCGAAAACAGCTCGAAACCTCACCTGAGATGGTTATTACAAGAATGATCGCCAAGGCTCCACTAATTACGCATTTGTCCCGTCGCCCCATGATTGGAGAAGAGGTGGTGGAGCACGAGCCTTCTTGGACGAACGTCCGCAGTGAAAGCAGTTACGGAGCCTTGGTGAAGAGTTTTGAGACCAAGGAAACGAACTGTCGTGAATGTGGAAATACTGTGGTGGAAGCAATAAGGTGCAAAGCTTGAGTTAGTGATTGTGCTTGGCTGAGGAAATCGATTTATGTGCTCAGCCGAGGTGAGGAGGAGAGAACAAGAATACCGAACCGCGTTTCCAATGAAGTACATTGGCTTCGCTCGCCAATCAGCTTCCGCGGAGGATGTTGAGAGTCAAACCGCGCTCCCAGCGAATAAGAATTCGCCCACAATAAGCCAGCCCCAATAATTCTAGCTCCAATAAGTTGCCTCACCTGACACCCGCACTGTATCTCCAGCACAAGCTTTTGCTGAAGAAAACATAAAATAGTTCACAAGAGCACATGTAACATTACTTATTTATTTGTTTGTGGAAAAGGAACTGGTTGAAAGCAGGCGTCAATGCGTTTGTGCACTCATAAATCACCCACGTTGACAGGGCAACTACTGAAAACTCTCTTCGTATAAAACCATGTCGCCCTAAGGTATATGATAAAACTCCCATGCCTTATCCACATAGCGTACACCGGGTTTTCAAGACCACCCAAGGTGCTTTGACAACCAACCAAGGCATATCATGGTCGGTTCTCTGTGCATGAATTACTACACCCCTACAAGAAAGAGAGAGAAAGAAAGAAATATGGAAAGACACAACCAAGAACACGTACCAAATGCGCACACGCACTTGTGAGCAAATGAAAGAAACGCAGTAAGACATATCTTGGTCATACGCTAAGATAAAACTGGTGTAAGTGGAGCAGAATGGGAGCATACCTAGCAAATTGAGCTGCATCCACTAATGGCAACGCTGTGCTGCGCCCACTGCTGCCAGAAGGCGTGTGCGGGAGAGGAAGGAGCGATCAGTGGGAGAGAGAAGAGAGAGAGAGGAGAGACAAGAAAGTTTGGGGATTGGGGCGATCTTTGAGGCGCCGCAGAAATGGATGGCAGCGCAGCACAGTGCCCTCAGCGAGGAAGACCATGGCTGAGTCTTATCTCTTACCATGGCTGGGACCACGGCCTTCACCGACAGTGAGGGCAGCGAGGAAGCCCGCAGTCTTATCTCTTCCTCGGCTGCCCTTTCCCACCCTCAGCCGTGCTCTCAAGTCATGGATAGCAGCAAGCTCTGCTGGCTGGCTAGGAAAAGAAAGAGAGAAGGCAAAACAGATGCAACTCTGCCTTGCACGAATTGGAGTGGAAGGAGAAGAGAGAGGGTGAGGGAGAGGGAGAGGAAGGAGGGTGTGAAAGAGATTGGAAGAGGGAGGAAGAAGAGGGAGAGGGAGAGAGAGAGGAAGGAGGGTGAGAGGGGGAGGAGGATAGGAGGGAGCGATAGTGGGAGGGAAGGAGGGGGAAGAAGAAGCACCAGATAAAGCAACGGAGAACAAATGATCCTTTAGATTGTACGGGGCCACTACCCAGTGGAGCGAGGAGCGAGGAAGAAAGAGAAGAACGTCCCGAGATGGAGCTGCCACAACTGATGCCACTACTTGGTCACCTTGGTGCCATAGAAGAACTGATGCCATAGATTGGATCGGATAGGCCATCCTGGCCACACTTTCAGGTTCGCGGGCTGTGGTCACTCTAGGGGCTTTAAACTTTACCAGGTAAAAAGCGGCATTCAAAGTCAAAAATGGGGTTCAAAGCGGCCCGTGAACACAACACTGTATCATGCCACATCAACATGCCACATCAGAATGGCGCATCAGCATGCCACAATAGCGTGCCACATCAGCGTGCCGCCTCATTGCACGCAGCACACGCCTCCATCCAACTCACCATGCTGTCAGCAGGGCACTGTGCGACACATTCAGCCGCGCTGGAAGCTGCCGGGATTGTAGCAGGCAGCGTGCCGGGAGTAAGTGTGCCGCCTCATTGCACGCAGCACACGCCTCCATCCAATCCAGCTCACCATGCTGTCAGCAACAGGGCACTTTGAGACACATTCAGCCGCGCTGGAAGCTCCCCAAAAGCTTCTCTTTCTGCCTAGGCTGCTGGATCGGCCGCTTCTCCTCTCTTCCACTGACGCCCTCTGATTGGTCGGGAGGAGCAGCTGACGTGGCAGCAACCAATGAGGAGAGCGCAGCGGGTGACAGCATGGCAGGGATGGCAGAGTTGTGGTGGTGCAAGAGAGTCGTGTGGTGCAACCCGACGTGGCACAAGAGGTGCAACTGCATGGGTGAGGAGGCCAGCAGAGGGGTAGGCCAGCAGAGGGGTAGGCAAGCAAGCAGAGCGTGTACTAGGCATGGCTCAAGTGGTGCACGTGAGGGCTCAAGTGGTGCACGTGAGGGCTCAAGTGGTGCACGTGACGGCTCAAGTGGTGCACGTGAGGGCTCAAGTGGTGCACGTGAGGGCTCAAGTGGTGCACGTGAGGGCTCAAGTGGTGCACGTGAGGGCTCAAGTGGTGCACGTGAGGGCTCAAGTGGTGCACGTGAGGGCTCAAGTGGTGCACGTGAGGGCTCAAGTGGTGCACGTGAGGGCTCAAGTGGTGCACGTGAGGGCTCAAGTGGTGCACGTGAGGGCTCAAGTGGTGCACGTGAGGGCTCAAGTGGTGCACGTGAGGGCTCAAGTGGTGCACGTGAGGGCTCAAGTGGTGCACGTGAGGGCTCAAGTGGTGCACGTGAGGGCTCAAGTGGTGCACGTGAGGGCTCAAGTGGTGCACGTGAGGGCTCAAGTGGTGCACGTGAGGGCTCAAGTGGTGCACGTGAGGGCTCAAGTGGTGCACGTGAGGGCTCAAGTGGTGCACGTGAGGGCTCAAGTGGTGCACGTGAGGGCTCAAGTGGTGCACGTGAGGGCTCAAGTGGTGCACGTGAGGGCTCAAGTGGTGCACGTGAGGGCTCAAGTGGTGCACGTGAGGGCTCAAGTGGTGCACGTGAGGGCTCAAGTGGTGCACGTGAGGGCTCAAGTGGTGCACGTGAGGGCTCAAGTGGTGCACGTGAGGGCTCAAGTGGTGCACGTGAGGGCTCAAGTGGTGCACGTGAGGGCTCAAGTGGTGCACGTGAGGGCTCAAGTGGTGCACGTGAGAGCTCAAGTGGCGCACGTGAGGGCTCAGGGATCCTTGGTTTCTGTTGGTATGTTTATGGGGCATGCAGGCACAGGCACACACCACATGCACACACGCACGCAGACACATACCCACACCCACCCTCACACACACACACGCACACACACATATCCACACCCACCCTCACACACACAAACACACACACAACCACGCACGCACGCACGCGCGCACACGCACACGCACACACATGTGGCATTTACAAAATATCCATGTTTCTGTTGTCAGGAAGTCTGATGGCCTCGTTTCTCTGCAAATCCCACTAACAGCAATGAGAGGTCCAAGGAACACGATATCGTACAGTGATCGATTATTTTCTGGAACAATATACTAAAAGTCAACATTATCTTTCCGACCTCCCTCAGGCATGTCGGGAGAATTTGTAGTGGATGTAGATAAATTTGCTGTGGATGTACATCAGAAGGACACAAAATATGCATGCCTTGCTGCCTATGGTGGATCACAGAAATTTATAACATGCATTGATCATGCAGGAGAACGGACTTTTAATATAAAGCATGTACAGCAATTTACACTATAATAAAGGCTCACCTGCATGGGTGGCATCCTCAAATACAATATGCGACTGGCTAAGAAACGCCATAATCGAGGGGACTGCTCCCGAAAAAAAGGGGGGAAAATCTTTAGCTAACATCGCGGATATTGAGCAGCTAAGCTGCAGCTAAGCTCATGTCGCTAATACTAAACCGCAGCTAAGCTCATGTCGCTCTCCCATGCGTGGGAAAACCCTGCCTTGGCAAGCGCAGCAACGCGTGAAATGGTATAGCCAGGGTGCGGTTAGACACAGCATTTCGTCTTAGAGACGAGAAGGGGAGTGTAAGCCGCATGATGAAGCAAAATACACGACCCCCCATGTTCCACGCTCTAAGACGCGTCGGTCTCCTGACTCGTCTAAGGCGCGTCGGAGTTCTGGCTGGTCTAAGGCGTGTCGGACTCCTGGCTCTTCTAAGGCGCGTCGGACTTATGGCCCATCTAAGGCGCGTCGGACTCGTGGCTCATTAGCTGGATGGAGGCGGACGAGAACGCAGATAAGGAGGCGAAGGAGGAAAGGAGGAGGAGGCAGAGGGAGACGAGGACATGAGCGCGGAGCGCACGGAAGTGGCACTGAAATGGCTGCTATTGCCGCAGCTGGATGGAGTGGCGCTGCTGATTATGGGTTGCTCAAAGCCTTTATGGTGGGAAGATAATGAATGGGGAGATTTGACGGTTTGATGAAACGGTTGGGAGTGGTACGCCGCGGTGGAAATGAAGGGTTGGGAATGGTGGGTTGCGGTGGCATTGATGTAGGGTTCGGGGGATGGGTGAAAAGCAGCAGCACGAACAGGTTCCCATTCGCGACACATTTCGCGAGGGTGCGATTTCGAATGCGACATTGCAGTCCTTCGCCCCATGACGCTGAGTGCGTCGCTTTCATCTTCGTCAATGTCGTAACAGACAGCGAAGTCCGGAAACACAGAAGCAGAAGGCGAATCTCCCAGTTTTCTCTGGTTACCACGAAATGTTTGAGGGTCGCGCTCAAGCACAGCAACTTTTGTTTCGCTTCCCTCATGCTGTTGCTCCTCTTGCTGTTGCTGTTGCTGTTGCTGCTGTAGGGGGTCTGAGCGCTTGGCCCGCCTTGAATGCTGGCGTATCCATACTCTATGTGCGGAGTCCACATTGCTTCTTCCTCGGGTCTCAGCTGCTCCTTGCAGGCCTGCGTGATGGACCCCCGTCAGCGCTGCGCGAACCATCGCTGCGCTCAGAAGGCTGGCTGCGACTCCGCGGGCCGCGATTCCATTGAATGCGATCCTCCGTGCGTCGGCGGGAGGTCCGTGAACGGATCTCGAGGGATCACCCGCCGACGGGTGCTTGTTCGCGGCGACCCCCGACGTGCCGCTGTAGCGAGCCCGGGTCCAGCGACGTTCGCCGCGATGGGTTCCGGCGCGGCTCTTCGCGAACACGAGCAACATCGTTCGCGAAATCGCCGAGCGCTTCCGTAGGTCGCAAAAACGTCGCGCTTTCGCGGCGTAGACGAGGAGTCTCCCCCCCGCCAGTTCCCCCCTGCGGAAAACGGCCGTTTTCCCCGTCGGCCGCAACAACCGGCGTGAGGTGGTACGTGCTGCCGGGACGCAGCGTCTTTTGCGGCGGGAGACGCGGACGGGAGGACGTGAGGCTGCCGACGTGGTAACCCGGATATTCCGCCATGATATCCGCTACGGTCTTTCCCGCGCCGAACATCTCAATGCTGCCGTCGGGAAGCAGCAAGCACGCGAGCTTGTCGCTGGTCCCCCGAAGCGCGTCCAGATGGCCCCACAGGCCCTTGCTTGCCTTCGTCATCGAGAAGAAGAGAAAGTAAAAAGACTAAGTTTTTGTTTCGAGAAATAGAGCGCAAGGCGCGGATACGCCACCGAGTTATGCTCGAAACGGGGTGAGATGAGAGAGGAGTCGTTGGAGAAGACCCACCAACCCAGCCTCGTCTAAAGCCGAAGGGAGCCGAAAGATGGACGGAAAGGGATACGTGGGAAGATGACCCGAACAGGGCTACGTGGGACGTCGTGGTAGAAACAAGCTGTTGAAAAACGCTGAGTTCAGCCGCCAAGTTATGTGCAGGTGGAATATGCAGCCGTCGTTATATACACTTGATCGACGTGACCGCGCGAGTGGCAAGATGGAACGCAGGAGGTACCGTCTGGCCTACCTTCTATCTTCAACGGCACACTCCACCCTACTGAGATTTGCTGTAGCAGCGGAGCGGTGCTGAGCTGAGAGAGAGAGAGAGAGAGAGAGAGAGAGAGAGAGAGAGAGAGGAGAGAGAGAGAGAGAGAGAGAGAGGAGAGAGAAGAGAGAGAGAGAGAGAGAGAAGAGAGAGAGAGAGAGAGAGAGAGAGAGAGAGAGATAGAGAGAGAGAGAGAGAGAGAGAGAGAGAGAGAGAGAGAGAGAGAGAGAGAGAGAGAGAGAGAGAGAGAGCTAGAGGAGAGATAGAGAGATAGAGAGAGAGAGAGAGAGAGAGAGAGCGAGAGAGAGAGAGAGAGAGAGAGAGAGAGAGAGAGAGATAGAGAGAGAGAGAGAAGAGAGAGCTCTGCGCTAGATCGAGATAGAGATAGAGAGAGATTCTCGCGTCGAAGCTTCTCGAAGCGACGTCCAGCTGATGTGCTCGGCTCGCTCGGTGTATATGGCCTCAGGTATGGTGCTGTTGGTAATAACTCGGCCGTCAAGCTAAACGTGTTAGTCCAAGGGCAGCTTTCTGGGCTCGCTTACTTGTCTGATAGTAAAACTAAAGGTCTTAGCATGTTGTTACAGGCTGGCGCCGACTTAGCACTGGCGTCTTATGCACGTCACGCAAGATTCCCGCTCGTCTCGACGTGGCGCGTCAGGGAAAGGGGAGGGAACAGCTAGCCGGCGCAAGGCAAAGCGTCAAAACGAGGACGCGCTGCGGCGCGTGGCCCATCCAGCCGTCCTCTAAACGCGACGAGAAACTCCGATTGAAAAGGGGGCACCTAGAGCGGGTTTGAAGGCTGTCAAGGGGCACCTGTTGACTAGAAACACTAGGGCCTTGGGAACTCGTGCTCTTCTGTCTGGTGGACATACGACCTTGTGCGTGAATCACCATTGCGGCGCGCCACATGAAAAATGCTGCTTTGACACTGTGTTGGCAGGGCAGAAGATGCATGAGTATTGCTCGAATAGTCGTTCCCATACAGCGTACTTTCCTTGCAAGACCTGACCCTACTCGGAGGCACGACTGCACTCGGCTCGCTGCGGCTACGCGAGCCGGAAAACGCGGCAGATGGGGGTATCAGTCACCCTCTTTGGAGGCCGAGATGACAACCAGGGGAGCGTCAGCCTTCCAACGACCCTAAAACGGGCCAGAATCGAGGCGTCACGTGACGTCACGACGCAGTGTAGTAGAGGTCGTCGGTTCAACAACCACAATAGGTAGTAAAGTGGCGTGGTCTATTGTATCTAGTCATGGCGGTCATTGATTGGTCGGTAATGCACGAAAAGCTGCCAGGAACAGTGGAGTCTTGTGAGCAGCGGACTGGACCCGAACCGCGAAAGGTGGGCGTTGCGTGCAGGTGAGGGTAGGTGCATCGCTACTAACTACTCTACAGTTCACTGCGTTCCACATCGCACTGCACGACTTTTTCGTCTCTCTATCCCTTGCTGGAAAGTGAAGTGTGGCTTTGTGGAGGAGAGACTTTTTGCCTGGTCCTTTTCCGTGTTTTTTGGTATTTTACTCTGATTTCCCAACGTTCCGGAGTGGTGCGGAGGTTTGCACAGGTGGTAGCCCACCCTTCGCTTTCTGCACACTTCTGCTGCAGGTTTGGCGGGAACAAATCCCCCAAAAGGGCAAATTGGTCAAGTGCAGAGGAGGGAGGTCCGGCCAGGTGAGAAGCACGAGGTAGCAGCCCAGCGTGGAAAGGTCCGTGTCGGCGCTGTCAGAACTCATTTCCCCCAAATTCTAGGAACTGGCGCGAATAAAAAGCCAGTAAAAAATCACTTAGCCGTTGAAGCGCTGCCCACTGTCCCCCAATGCCCAAAATCAAGGAGTTGGGGAATAAAGTATCGTTGTCAGAGAACCTGCCTGCCAACATTGCCGCCAGGCAGGGGGGGATTCCTAGCGCTGTACATATATAGTTTATCGTCCTATCTTCCTACCCTGAAGAACAGTGTGCCAGTTTCAGCATCATGCAGAAGCCATTAGATGTAATGCGAGGTGCTCCATATGCACCATGAAATCAAATTCCACATATTATTTTTTGACTCCAAAACCACTGAAAATTTCAAACGAAAATTATTGTATATCTAACCACAAATAAATTACAATGCGCATATTGGTTATGATGATTCTGTACGTAGTTAAAAATTATCCATTATCGTTCAACGTATGAGTAATACCACGTGCCAGAGAGAGTGATTGCCCTCTTTATTTAACTGGAAGTGTCCAGCCTAAGTGGCTGAAGTCACACACAGACTGAGGTCATGTAACGAAGGACTTCTAAAAGAACATGTGTTCCTGGTCCCACACTCCGCCGTACCCACCCCCACCTCCCCTCCCCCCCCCCTCTAACCCTCTCCTTCCCCCTCTCCCACCCCCTCCCTTCTTCCCCGCCACCCCCCTTTCCCCCTCAGCCCCTCCCCAGCGTCTATTTCCAAGGAGATACCCAATGCTTTTTCCGCCTCTCTGCAACTTTCTTAACCTCTTCTCATCGTTCTTCGCATCTCTCTCATCCTCTGTCACTCTTTCTCCCTGCACCCTTTGGGA